AAAAGAGTATAGTGAGGCAAAGAAAACATTTAACAGCATCAGTTTTCTCTGAATCATCTGTCATTTTTTCCCCATCCTCTCATCTTTTCTCACTTAATCATGTGTCTTTACTTCAGATTTCCACAGTTTTCATTTTGATTGATCCTTAAAAGCCCTTGCTGTGCCATTTTCCCTTCACATTAGGACACTGCTGATGGGCCATTATAAAAGCACCTCTCTCCAGTTATCCCACCCACCTCTCCCAAATGGATCCAGGCATCCACACCCACACTTAGCAAAACTGCCTTTTGAGCTCCTCATTCTGCTTCTCTCATCTCCCTGCTGTCTCCAGAGCACCAAATGCCAACTCCACGGCCACTTCCACCTGAATTACTTCTGACTTTTAAAGTTTTAAACTTCACATAAGCCTGACTGCAACCCAGAACAGTTAACTCCAGAATAACAACACCTTGTACCTCCTGAAATACAAACAGTGCTCTGGAAAAAATTCTATTAACTCTCTGGCTTTTCAAGTCATCCCATGTTAGGCATTTTTCCCAAAAGATTCTCAGGTATGGTTTGGAAATACTGGTGGGTGAAAAACTGAGCACAAGTGCCAGCCATATGCACTTCCAGCCCAGAGAGCCAAACCTGTCCTGGGCTGCATCCCCAGCACCGTGGGCAGCAGGTCAAGGCAGGGGTTCTGCCCCTCTGTTCACACCCTTCCTGCAGGGCTGCATCCAGATCTGGGACCTGCTGGAGCAAATCCAGAGGAAGGCCACAAAAATGATGCCATGGCTGGAACACCTGTCCTTTGAGAAGAGGCTGAGGGAGGTGGGGAGAGCTCTGGGTAGACCATATTGCAGCCTTTCAGTGCTTAAAGGGGCCCATAGTAAACACTCCCTGCTCCTCTTTTACCAGGGGCTGGAGTGACAGGACAAAGTGCACATGCTTTAAACTGAAAGAGGATCAGTTCAGACTGACATTAAGGAAGAAATTTTTCATGATGAATTAGATGAGACACAGGAACAGGTGCCCAGAGAAGTTGTTGGTACTCCATTCCTGGAAGCATTTGAGGACTAGAGGGCATTGAACATTCCTTTCCAACCCAAACCATTCTGTGATTCCCAAGCTTTGGAAATACAGCTGGTGCTCAGCACAGTGCCCCCAGCCTTTCCTGAGCAACAGACAGGGCTGTGATGCAGTGCTGCATTCATCTCCAAAGCACTGAAATGCACATCAATCACTCCTGACACATCCTGTGACGCTGAGCTCCTCCTGTGCCTTCCTCACACTGCTTACAGACGTTTCAGCTTCTCATGTTCCTTCTCTCTCCTGGATATTACAGTCCCAGCTCCCATGAATAATTCATCTACATCAATGAAGTGCTACAGTCTGTCAGGACACAGTTTCACAGCAGAAGCCAAGACAGAACCCAAAATTTCAAGCCCCTCCACCAGCTGGATTTGAGCCCTAAAGACTAGAAATAAGAATTGATTATTTTTACTCTTTTGGACAGTAATGCTGTTTAGGAGCCACAAATCTCTTCTGGAAGTTCAGCTGCAATTTGCAACATTCCCTGAAGAAAGGCCCTGAGCAGTCAGTGTTTATGACCAACCAGCCAAAGCAAAAAGCAACTTTCCCCTACGAGCTGCCAAACATCCTTGGCAGAAGCCTGGCCAGGTGCTCAGAGGGCCTTAGAGAAATCAGAACACTGTTCATAGCCAGGTAGGATACCCAGTGCTCCAAGAGCTCACATGAAGAAATGTAACAGGATGAAATATAACAGGATATTTGCCCTCCCCAAAAGAAAGAACTAAAAACCCCAAACCAGACTTACTGCAGTACCTATGTCATTATTATTACAAAATCCTGTAATCACACAAAACTGCTTAAGGGCTTTGTATCTTTGAAAGAGCTTCAAGATTTCACCAACTATAGCAGTTATGGCCACAAGTCTTTTTTTAGCTCTGTATAATGTCAGGATGACCACAAGTTGGAGATTGTCTCTTTACAGAAGGCATCAAATTCAAATAGAAGACATTGTTAAGTCAACATCCAGACAAGCTTTTGCTAAGGTGGATTTATTAAGTATCAGTGTTAGCAAGTGTCCTTCATGAATCAAAAGCACCATGGTCTGTGTTACACTTCAGGTCCATCTTCTCTTGGCCAAAAATATGTATTTTAGTTCAGTATTATTTCTTGAACTAATGTACAAAATGTAACATGTGTCCAAATACAACCAGAACTGATACTTCTGGCCTCTAAGGTGAAATCAATGACCAGTTACCAGCTGATTTGCCATTTATGCTCACTGACAAACACCCTGTGCTCCTCTCTGGCTGTTTCACACTTCACATTTGGAGCAGTTTGTGAAAGCTGAACTCAGCCACGCACAAAGGTACAGAAGGAATTTTACCAAGGTTTGTGCCATGCATTACCCATCTCCACAGTGTCCCTGGTGGGTTTTGGGGTTCTTTCACCTGGCAATGCTCACCTGAAAGCCTGAAACCAGGAGTGTCTAAGGGTCTCTGTTGCTCAAATGAGCACCTGCACTGCATCTCACGGGGCACCTCTCCTCTGCACTCTGGACATGAGCAGCAGGTGAGTATGGAACAATGAGACAGGTGAGATTGCTAGCCAAGGGTGTCAGATGCAGTGGATTTTTATAATCTGTGATCAGCTTCCAACAAGTGCTACTGATTTTATTGAGACTTGGGCCTGGATATTTCTCCCCTACTTTTAGAGTTTAAGGATTTTTTTAGAGCACCACTCAAAAAAGTGCCTTTGTATGAGGGAGGGAAAAGTGGATAGAGAGAGGTTTTAAAATTCAGCTCAGTATTATCCATGCTGCTGCTGCTGCTACCAATTCTGATCTTAATATTTATCCAAATGAGAGGCTGAGGGATGAGGAAAGACATGGACAACACTGGAGAAAGAAGAGTCAAAAGAGAACAGACAGCATGGACAGTCTGAAGCGCAGACGGACAGGAGCATTACTCCAAATCCTCAACTAAACCAGGACATGTTCACAACTGCTGCTTATGGGGTTACAGCAATCCTGATCCCCTCTATCCCTCAGGGAGATTCAACATCACAAGCACTGGCTGTGAAACACTGAGGACTTTTCCTTGGCACTCCTGGCAGAGCTGCAGCCCAAGAACTGAATCTCACTGCTGGAGCCATCAGACACAGCCAGACTTCTGCAGGGCTTGGCAGGCACAGGCTCTGTATAAAATGACTGCATGTTACCTCCCCCTAAAACTTCTGTTTGTCATCTAGATGAGACTGCAAGCATCTTCACACTGTGTTTTAAGCATATAATTAAGAATATATAGTATACAGTTGGCCCTTACTCAGCAAATGGTGATGATATAATTAAATCCCATGAACAAGGACCTGAACAACTGGAAATTTGTATTTTCTAATTTCTGTATATGATGGCTAGAGGCAGAAACTGCTTTTATGATGGAATAGAAAAGTGTCATGTACTATTCAGTGTAAAATTGATCTGAAGCATTTTTAATCTACCAACATTAGCTCCCTCAGCTCCCCAAAGGGAAAATGTTTGTTAATTATCCTAGGAGATCAGAAGGACATAGAGAGTGAAAATTCTTTTAGAAGAGGAATCTTTAATTTAACAGCCAAATAAAATTCACTGTTTGATTACCTGAAGTTGGGGGAAAAAAGCAAAGTACATCTAAAGCATGTATTTAAACTGTAAGGAGACCTCATCTTGTAGATCATATTTTTATATTGGGGATTGTTTCTGTACCAGTTCTGAACATGGGGCCAGTATTTTTGCTCTGCTGCCTTTTAAGGTTCTTCACTAGTAGTTACCAAAAGGAAGCAGAACAAGTTCCTGCAACTCTACACTGCAGTTCAGCTTGGCTGAGCAGCCCATGAATTCAGGCTGGGCATCTGTCAGCACTTCACAGAGGAGAAAAACTCCAGCATACCCACCTAAAGGGACACTCCAGAGTGCACAGACACCCAGCAAACTGGTCCCATCACCAAATATGTTCTGGTGAACATTCAGCAAAGACAACTGAGAAAGTGGTAAATTAATTTGTGGAGCCCATGTGGAAGAGGTGGGAAACTGTCTTCCAGCTTTAAACTAAGACTTTGCTTTTAAAGACAATAATCTGTGGTTTAGAAGCATTTATGGATCTATTGGAAGTTCCAGGGCATCATCTGTGTAGAGGAAGAAGTGTGGTTAGATCATCACAACAGTTTAAGTTATGGCTAGAAACTTTAAAACAAAGAGGAAAGCTTTGTTATTTTTTTACACTTTGATGTTCCTACCCCATTTAGAGACATTTATACTCAAATTATCCCTCTGGTGAGCGTGAGAAATACCAATCCAAACTCCTGCAGTATGGGAGGATTAGGTCTAGCCCAGCCCTGAGTTAATATCATCTAATTTGAATACAAGAAGCTATTGAGAAGCAGGTTCCAATGCTTCAAACAATCCTTCAACTCAGGGCAGACTGTTCTGACTCCAGGAGCTTTCATCTGTGATGTTCCATCAATGTGTGGATTCTTAATCTGCAAAATCTTTAACTCCAGTTTAAGTTTTGATTCAAACCAGAAGCTAAATAAAGACATTAGGTAATAATTTAACATCTCAGCTCAGATTTAACATCCAAGAACAGATTGTAACCAAGCACCATTCCAATCTGACAGCAAAAGCAAGGCAAAGAAACACAAACAGCTTTATACACACACAGAGTATCACATAACTGGTCTGAAATAGGAACCAGTTTCCAGGGGTTATGAGCTTCTTCAAATGTCCTTTTGTTTCAATGGGAACTCTGCACAGTCTTAATAAATTACTGATGCCGTACAAACACCTATATCCAAAAGTCAGCTGGTGATTCACCTAAAACTGTCCTCCCCCACCTCCCAAACAACAGCAATTGGAAACAAGAGCTTCTGTTTCCCCAGATTTAGCCAAGCTTCCCTTTATACAAAAAAACATGAAGTACCAAACAAATACAGAATTTTAAGAGCTGAAAGCAGAATTTTAAGAGCTGAAAGAATAACTGCTTTCCTAAGAAACTCAGAAATGTGACACAAAAGAAACAAGACTGAGTCTGTATATAAAATTATAATTTGATGTTAATTATGTAGATTAAAGTCACAGACAATGTCTAGTATGTAATCATGTTAAAAAAACACGTTTCAAGAAAGCTTTACTATGAAAATGAAATAAAATTTGGTGAGTTTAAATGAATTTCATTTCACTTTAGCAACTATGAAAATATTACTTTACTTTAAATGCATTCAGAATTTCAAATTCCCAATATGTAAAATTTTCAAACTTTAAGTAGTTTACTACAGCTATAGCTGTTCTCTGAAATGAAATATTAGCCCTTGGAACAAAGAAAAAAATCCCTTCTCCATTTTTTATTTTTTTTTCTACATAAAGGATGAGAAGTGCTCCCCAAACAAAATAAATTCACAATTTTAAAAGGTTACTACAGATAAAAATGTACATTCCTTTTTCTTTGTGACTACATATTAAGCAAGACAGTGCCTAAATGCAGAGAATGCTCCATGTTGTTACTGCACAAGCATTTTGTGTGGCCACATTTACACTGGGGAGTCCAAAGGCGTAGCTCTGTGCATCAATCCTCACATTATGAAAAATGGAAAGAACTTGTTCAGCTGCACTCAGGCTGTTGCTTCTTTGCACCTGGAATCCAGTGAGAACTCACCCTGACCTTTCATGTTTCCCTGAAAAAGCTTCCCTACACTTTCCTATAAACCAACAGACACTGGGGATGAACAGCTCTTCAGATCTTTCATTGACTATAAAAAGCAGGTTTCCTTTAAATCAATAGTTTAATAGTTATGCTAAATACAGATTTTGCCACATTTCTTGCTTGTAATTCAATGTAATGCTTCTGGGTACCTCAGTCATCCTCTTGCTGATTTCTTTTCTGTCAACAGAACAGGAGAGTTCAGAATGTTAGGACACAGTTATCTGAAGTAAGAGCACTAATAAATCATGTCAAGTGTTCCAGATACAATGGATTAGACAGTGACTGCATTTCTAAGCCATTTTTTTGGAACAGCAAGAGATAATTTTTCAGCAAATTGAAGAGAGCAATATCAACCCTCTCTCTCATCCCGAACTATAGGATTTTATTTCCAGTAAAGAACAAGATTTGCCTAGCCATTGGAATACAGAAGAAGCAGAAAACATCCTGGTGGTGCAAGAGTCAGTGATGCAGGTGCAGGTAACCTGCCCTCCCTTCCCTAACTTACTCATGTCTTCATGCCACTGTGCTTTAAAAGAATAAAGAAAGCAGACTGAAAAAGGAACAACTCTATCATGGTTTTTCCTAATACATTTGTCATGTAACTTTTAAAGAAAAAAGTTAAAAACATTAAAAGTTTAATGTTAAAAACATTAAAAACATTAAAAGCATTACAAAACAGTTAAAAACCTTGAAAGCATTAGCTCCAGGCATTCAAAAAGCACATTTCCATTCATACTACATTCATATTTACATTTCAGTAAGAAAGGAAACAGGTCAGTCCTTCAGTAAGATTTGTCAAACTACATTTGCTGCTTCCCATAAAAATAAAATTAAGCAAAGTGAGAGCAGTAAAGAGCTTGCACTTCACCACTTCAGGAACAATCAACCCAACATTGTGTGATGGTTTCATACACTGCTTTTTCTGTAATTTTGTACACTTTGTTAGTAACAAAAGCAGAGACCCAGGGACTTTGGTGCTTCTATTTCACAAAGGTGGAAGGTCAGAGATTTTTTTCCCGCTACTTCTTACCAGTTTTAGAAAGTCAATCAATTTGTGAACATCCTCTCCTGTGGAAAGGTCCACAAAGTCCTTGGGCAGTCGGTAGCTCAGGTAGGGGCTGGGCTGGACGGTGACTTTGCTGTTGGTACAACGGAACACTGGGCAATCCTTTGGAGAAGGAGACAAGAACAAACAGTGGACATGAATATGAAATGTTCCTGGGACTCCTCCTGAGACTGAGTCACGCTGCCAATGAGTTTATTTGGCACTCACTCAACCAAACTTGCGCTTTCTAAAAATTGTAGCTTTCTTATAAAGCCTCTGCCCACTTAGGAGCAATTTGAAATGTCAAACATGTTAAACAGTCAAATAATGGCTTGCATTACCTCACTTTAAAGTTTCTACAGTGTATCAGTTATTAATGTATTTAATAAATTCATGCTTGTGACAGTGCTGTACTAATGGAGCTATAAGGAACTTTGGGCAGTGGTATCTAGATACATATCTGGATAGAGAAAAATCTTTTTGATAGAATCCCTAGATTTGTCTTCACAGTTTAAACACATTTGCAACTATAATCTCACTGAAATGATAATTTAAACTTTCCAACCAATTTATTCACTGAAGGAAAAAAATACCTCTATAAAGGGCCAAAAAGATCTCTAAATGCTGAATTGTAGCAACAGGTTTTGGAGAATGATATCATTTTCAGTTCAACACATTGACATGCCATGCAATTGCCAGCTGTACTGCAATAAACAGTTTCATTTTATGAAAGATCAGCAGCTTTACACCAGATTATGTGACTGGATGTCAGTTGAAACATGAAGACAAGTTATTCTAGTTTTCATCCAGGACTGAACTACAGAAAACTGTGCAAAGCATCTGGCAACGAGAAAAAGAAATCCCAAAATGAAAATTCCCATGTCCCACAGACAGCTCTGAACTGGGAGTGTGTTCTAACAAAGGAGACACAGATTTTAACAGGAGGGTTCATGGAATGGGTTTCATATACCAACAGCCCCAGGGTGAGGCAGAGGCAATGGCCTGAAGGACAGCCTGGGGAGGGGTGTCCCTGTCAATGTGTTATGGAAAGGGCCACAGGACTAAAGAAACTCCCAGATGTTAAAGTCAGCTCAATGAAGTTTGTCATTTCAGTGACCTCTAATGCAGTTCAACAGGCAGGAAATTAAGAAAAGCCCACACTGGCCAGCCACCTCTCCTCAGGAAAGAACCAAATGTTTCCCAAGATCCATTAACACACCACTTCCTATCTCCTACCCAGCTGCACAAGGGCTTGTTAGGATGTGAGGACTCTGTCTCAAGATGCAGTGAGAAAAAAAAAGCTGGAATACAAAAAATAAACACTATTCCTCCCTTTCTGTACTAATGGGAAGTTGTTTTTACAGAGGAAATGTGGCTTGGAAGAGGGATAGAAAGCCTTGTTCTGCAAGTCCTGGGAGTTCAACCAGAGGACAAGGCTTTGCTAAGGGTATTCCAGAGGAGGAGGTGACAGAAGTTAAGCTTCTGCTTGTCTTCCCCCAAGCATAAAACTGGAGATGTGAGAAACTGCATGACAGATATCAAGAACCAAGTAGAAATTTAAGTGACTATATAGAAAAGTAATAGATTTTAAGAAAAACTGAAAGGAATGCATCAAAACTGTGTAAAAGCAAGTTTCAGGGCGTCTTCTTTGCAATGGGGTCAAAGCTGCAACATGGACTTGTACTGTTTGAACTAAAAATTCCTTTGCAGGCATCTAAAACTAGCAGGTGATACTTGTTGAGATGAACTATAAGGTAGATTTTACTTATGAAGTGTTTACATTTCACAGGAGCTTCCATTACTTCAATGGAATTTGCATCACAATTTGATTGTTACAGCAAAAGAAAGCAAAAATAAGGCCATAAGTCCTGCTGGATGTTATTCAGCCTCCCTCACCTGTTCTGTTGCTTCCCCTTCACTTTGATCTCCTTTCAAGTTTTTTCCAGAGGTGAGTTCCTCCCATGTAAAGAGCAGGGAGTCTGTTACTTCACCAAATGGGTTAAAATCTATTAACCAAATCTTACCCTGCAAAGGAACCACAGATGAATTAAAACAAATCAAAAAAAAGAGAAAAAAAAATCAAAATACACATACACTCAGATTATTGTAGCATGCTTAGTCTTTAGATAAAAATATGTCAAAATTGAAACTACCTGGGTTTAAACGTTTAAAATATTCTAACATTCTTAACCCATAGAGTTTTATATCACAGCAAGTTATCATGTCTTAATTTACTTTGGTTTTTTTTTTTAAACAGAAGATCAGACAGAGCTCAAATAAAGTGAATTTAGTGCTATGCCAGAATGTTTTCAGATGAGCCCACCAAAGTTCTGGCTAATCCCCATGATCCACCAAGATCCCCAGAGAGAATGAACAAGGAATAGGGGAGAGCACTAATCAAAAACCACAAAAAAACTCCAAACCCAAAATACGACCAAACAAACAAAAAAACCCAAACTGCCCACACAGGAATTTTGCTTTCCATGAAAAACTTTCCATCCAGCAGTCTACAAAAATTGCTGTTCTTGGTCTTACAAGGGACCCTAAAAACAAAGAGCAGGGTCTGCAAAATGCTGGTGGAGCTCATGAAACGTCAAAGATGCTGTACAGACATAGATAAATAAAGAATAACTTAAGGGCATTTTTAATACAGCCATTACTATCAGTCCACACTAATTTCTACCTCAACTTTAACACATCTGTGTTCCAAACAGTTGTGGTGGGGTGCACAACAACACAACAGCTTCACAACTGAAAAATGAAAGCAGAGACTAACAAGATATATTAGAAGTAACAGACATGTGGGGGAGGAAGAAATAGTGTGTGTTCCTTGAGGCACTTCAAGAGACAACCCCCAGCACTGGGCCATCTTCTCTTGCCCAAGGAACTATCAACTACTCTAATAAAATAAAACACTAATGAATTAGAAGGAAATATGACTACAGCTGCTAGTAAAAATGTGCAAAACCAGTATTATATCTGGATGAAATCAGTTCTATCAAACAGGGAAGGGAAAAGTTGCAGTAACATAAGCAGGGCTGAAGAGTTTTATTGTGTTTATTCTAAAGATCAACTGGAATGGGAAAACAAACCTGCAGACAGTTTAGCTACTAAACATTAATTTTGCTCTCTCCTCTTTTCTGAAGGATCTTCAGGCTTTGAAAGATCTTGCCTATCTTGATTCAAGCAGCAAATACATTCAATTATTTACACTACAGCCATCTGGTCTGTAACACACCGAGATGCTTTTGAGGCATCGGCAGAGAGTAACACGGAGCCTGCCCGCCCCACCCACGCCCGTGAGCTGTCCCACGGGCACTGACACTCTGTGGGACTGCAAGTGAGGCCAACCTGGGAGGAGAAACGTGCTGGAGCCTCTGTGAGCATCCCCAGGCAGCTCCTGCTGCAGGTGTGGGCAGTCCCAGCAGAGAGGAGAGCAGTGCTTATGGCTTGCAGGCTGGAGCTGGGCCAGCTGTGGTTGCACACAGCCTTTCACAGGTGTCTGTCTCAGGGCAGGTCTCAGCTCTCACTGAGCACATTTTAAGAAGCCAAAGCACAGAAACAACAGTGCTGAAACCAGACAGCTACAAAAGAAACTACAAACTGGGGGGCACAGACCTGAGTGGTTTCTAGTTTGTTCTGGAAGGGTGAGCAAGCCCAGATCTGCATGGCTGAGCTGCAACACCTCTGCACTAACACTGGCACCACCAGAGCAGGGAGCAATGGGGCAAACTCTGCTGTCATTTCCCATCCCTGGGCCCCCTCAAAAGGCTGTCACAAATTCTCATGATAAACAGTCTTTTACTTTTGCTAATGGGGGTGTCTTGTCAGCTCCAAGGCAGCACGAGGAGGAATCTGTGGGTTTAGGTTCTATCTGTGGGTTTATATTCATTCTATCACTCGAGAAAAACAAGCTAATGAACCAATTTAATCACACACAGAAGCAATGGCTAGCAAAGTTCATTCAGCAGTTCAGAGAATCTTTCCTTGCATCAGAAACATTTCTACCTAATACTTCCCTATGAAAGGCTTTCACAGAAATTCCTCTTCACCCCAAATACATCCAGCTCAGCTTTTTCTCAGGAACATTAAGATCGTTTTTCTAGAGAATAAATGTACCCTGGAAAAAACTGAAAATTGATTTTGAGACTACTGAAAGCAAAATGGTTTTTTGTGAGCACCCAGCAGTGTTCCTCCACCCCTGCAGACAGCAGTGCAACACTTGTTTCCTTGAGATGGTTTTAAATCTGCACTGAGCTTTGCTAGCTGCAAATTGATGACAAGTGGCAAAACAAACTCAATATCTCTTTTCAGGCTCATTAAAAGGAGTGTATATAACCCTGGGTCATAACCAAACTGCTTCTTCTTAACATGAAATTCTTTCTCAAGTCTTACATGCAATGGCATGATTTAAATACAGTTTCAGATAATTTGCACTGTGTATCTAAAAAGCAGTAGTAAGGCTATTTATCTGCTGTCTTTTGCCTGCTATTAGTAATCTTTGTCATACAAGAGTAGAGAAATGCACAAGCCAGGAAAAAAAAGTTGTGCATAAGTGGAGGGGGAAAAAAATTCCCCTACTTGTATTACATGGTGTTTTCTTCTCATCCTAAAAGAAAGAATCAATAGATTTATCATACCCTGTCAGCTTCATGGGTTTTTTTTTGCCAAGGCATTAAGCAGCAGGGCACTGAAAGGAAGTGCCCATGACAAAGCCTGTTGGTTAAAGGAAGTTACAGACAGATAAAATGCAAACTTAACTGCTACACCTCCCTAACTCCAGCTGCACCTTCCTGCACAGTGACAATGCTCACAAGGCACAGACACAAGCACTGGTGTGCTCCTTAACAAGAGCTGGGAGCCAGCAGTGGTCTGGGCCACTCCTTGCATTGCTCTGTCTTAGCACAGTGACTTGTCTTGAACTTGGTTTGTTGTTCACACCTGGGGGACAGCAAAGAGCAACAGCAGAGCTTTTTGTGAATTCCCTCTCCAATTCAGTGAGCAGGACCTGTGGAGCCAACTCCAGACAGCTCTAAAGCAACTGAAGTGAGCACGGGGAGGAGACTGCTGTCATTTACAACAGCAACAACAACTTGCTTCTCCAAGCTGAACATTTAGAGTTGAAAGGATTTGAAACAAGCAGTCAGTGAACATTTCTCTCCTTCTGTATGTGAGGTTGCTGTGCAACCAGCCTGATGAGGAGCACGGGCTCTGGAAATTAATCATGCTCACAATATTCTTTAGCTGCCTGTAGCTCTCACGCCGAGGGAGCGATGAATAACGCAGTTGCAAACCACAATGGTACGTGTGAAAGGAGAAGCATCTGACACACAAAGGGCTAGCTGGCAGTTTACAAGACCTGAGGGTAGAATCCACCGAGAGAAATCTACAAACAGATATATTTTATCTTGACAGATGAAGAAACACTGCTCATTTGAGATACCACAGGCTGAAACCTTTTACTGAAGTAATTTCTCTTCATGCCTCAGCTATGAGGCAGAGCACACAACGGCAGAAACTGGTTCAATGCCCAAGTGCTGCTCCTCATTTTTCCTGACAGCATCCTCATGTCTGTCAATCTGAGCCTGGGCAGGTAATTTCAATTACAGCAGAGCTGCTCTAGCCCACAGCCTTGTTTGAGGTACCTACATTAAAAGCTGGGCTGAGAAATTGAGAAATGGTATAGTTGTTGTTTTCCACGTGAGACACGTTCCTGTTTTGTAAACTATGGCATGATTTACTGTTACACAATTACAAAACAGTTCAGCAACATTCAAAATGAGAATCAGGACTTACTCCCAATACACTCAACTCTAATAAAGACTTTCTCCAATCAAGCCTTTCAAGCACAACTCACCTGACCAAATATTTCCCCCCATTCACACTACGAGAAGTCAAGATTACTAACTCTGATACTGGCACCTTCATAGAACTATTTAGGTTGGAAAAGTCCTTTAAGATAATCCAATCCTTACCCAGCACCTCTGTGTTCACCCCTAAACCACACCCCTAAACACTACACCTATCTATGTTTTTCAAACAGTTGAGGTGGGATGTTTCTCCCCAACTCCATCACTGTCTGGATGTTGAGGGTTCTGATCTGCCCAACTCTCAGAACCACAGCTGGAGCAGCTTGAAAAGAAAAAACTGGCTTCCATCTGTCACAAACATTCATACCCTCTTTTGAGAATCATCCCTTCCTATCCTAGACTTCCAGATATGAACCATTTTCCAATCTCACAAGGATAATCTGAAAAAATATTAAGGATAATTCTGATGAGTTCAAATGCTGTAACGAAAAAACAAACACAGGGAAAAAAGAAATAAAGCCCAAGAAATATCTGCCTTAAAAGAAAATGCAGACCTGTTTGTGTGTTTGAAAGCTATTTGGGCCATGCCCTCCATGCAAGAGTCACAGAATATCCTGAGTTGGAAGGGACTGAGTTGGAAGCTCCTGGCCCTGCACAGGACAGCCCCACAAATCCCACCATGTGCCTGGGAACACCACCCATAACCACATGCTTTTACTTTTCAGTCAGCCCTGAACTGGTCAAGCAGTAGAACTTGATGAGCATTGCAGGTCCCTTCCAACTGAAATAGTCTATTCCACTCTAAATTACTGCAGCAAGGACTCTCATGTCATAACAAAAACTAAGTTGCCTCTTGTAGATTCACAGAACTGAGAAAACTGCAGTCGAAGACTAAGTTCTGTGCTTTAGAACAGACAACCTCTCTGGAAGATACTAAGTAAATAAATTACATCACTGGCACAGACATATTTACACCCCTAATCCTATTATTCTCCTACCGTAGACAGCATTTATCACAGAAAAAGACCTGTGGAACAGATTAACATCAAGTAGGTTTTGCTTGGTGTTTTTGTTTGGTCATGGTTTTTACTTTAGTGGTATTTTTTTGTTTGTTTGGTTGTTTCTTTCCAGGACATTTTTAGGAAGACAAAGCTATTACTTGCTTGATCTTTGTAGCATTTCAAGTTTTCACAGAAGAAACAATTATAGACAACCAATTGTTCACTTACCCTGCTGTCTCTGTACACATCAAAAACAACTGAAAAGGAGAAAAAAAAATGTTAATTGCAAAAGATATATAATTTCACAGAAGATGTCTAAATCTGAATAGATACTTGTGTACACAGCACAATCTGCAAAGTCAATATGTTTAATGAACTGCAAGCCAGAATTTGCTATACTTCTAAGAGGGAGCTGAAACATTTCAAGAACTATTGTTAATGCACTGGGAAATCAGCTGTTGGGTTTTTCCACTTAATGCTGGTTCCTTCTGTTGATTTTTCTCCCATGAAGAATATTTGATAAACTCTTAGCCCAGAGAGCTTATCCTTGACATTACTGCTGTTTTGTTTTCAGCAGAACAGAGACATTTCAGGGAAGGATCAAGACTTCATTGTGTTGGACACTGCACAAACATTTAATAAGAGAAGGTCCCTGCTCCAGACACTAGAATTTCAGCAGCTAACAAGACAAACAGGTTGTAGGAACAAAGGGGTCGGTGGCAGTGAAATGGCCCTGTTTGATGTCACCCAGAGCAGACACAGCACACCTAATTAATACCAACAAATCCTTCAAACAGCCTCCTTGCCACTCAAAGCTGCCTTGCCTGGCTTCACTGTTGTTCCTCCCCCTGGCTTAATTAAACATGACTCTGGATATGCAGCTTTCCATCAGCTCCTGCTCTGTATGGTTAAACAAACCTTTGAGCTGTCTTTCTACTGAGCTAGGGAAATCAACAGGGAAGCACTCAGACATGGCTACATGAAAAAGCTGCACCAGTTCAGCAGGAAGAAAGGAAAAAGAAAAGATTTAGAAAAGCCTCAGACAAGAGCTATATTGTTGCTTCCTTCACTAATAAGGGAATATTTCAGCTAAGAGATTTCCCAATACATGTGGGTAAACTAAACCCAGGATGTGACTGCAGAACACTTGAGTGTCAGGAAGCTGCCTGTCAGGAACAGGGATGTTGACTGATCACATCCCTGCATGTAAAGCTTCATCTGACGTTTCATGTGAAGCTGGCTGGGCTAAGGGCAAACCACAACTGCACAGAGCCAAAGCCAGTCACGTAGCTGGTTCTTACCATGCAGCCCCAAAATCCTCCCAGCTTTTGCACAAGCTGGGCTGTGTCAGTGCCAAAGGCACTCCAGGATTAAGTGCTCTGCTGTCCCAGGAAGAGAAGCCCTCAGTGGCTAAGCCAGTCATCAATGCAAAGGGGGGTGCAGGAACCCCAGGATTTCTTCTCCAGCTGTTCAGCTGAACTCAGTGCCTGCACCACATCCTCTCCTCAGTCACAGCCAAAAGAGATCCCCTGCATCTGAGGCTTTCTATAGTGGGGCCTGTCAGCCTAAAGCAAGCCCATGGCAATCACTGAGGTCAGTGGTATTTATTGGGATTCACACAGCTGGAATTCAGGCTGGCTGCACTCTGGTGACTGGTTCAGGACAGGCACAAACACTGAACAAGAAGAAAAGCTGAATTACTCCCACTCTCAGAGCAGGAGTGTCCTGTGCCAGTGAGACTGTAGTGAAACTCCACCAGAACCTGCTCTAAACAGAGGGAAAGCCAAAGCCCAGCTCTGCACCATCAACACCTCCAGAGCACTGCTCTTACTGGGCTCTTACCAAAGGTATTTAGATAGTTCTAACATAATTTAGAAGTATTTATAAAGCATTCACCCATCTGTTATCCTACTGCTCTGACTCTGCAATCCTTCAGCTGCTCTGACTCAACTCTTCCATCTGGAGATGCTACCAGACCAACTGGAAAAAGCAGAGCAAACAGCATCAAAATTCCCAATGAAACAAGAAGTCAGGAAAAAAGCTGCAATACCTTTCCTTTTAAAAGCAAACAAACAAGCAAACCCAGATTTTTATTGTTAACAACACATATGCTACCAGGCAGTGGATCAAGGGAGATGATGGGGGATAAATGCAATGTGGTTAAAAAAGAAACACCCACAAAAACACAGAAAACATTTTCTGCATGGCATTTCTCTGCAGATGGACCAGCATTTAGTGCCTAAGAATAAGAGGTTAACAAACCTTCATGCCAGAAGGTTGCCCTGAAACCTCCTTTTCCCTCAAGGCAACTCAGATGGCACCCTTTACATAAGATGACATTTCAGACCTTTCAGTTCACCAGCCAGCCATTTCAGAGCCTAAATCTAGGCATCAATTTCCAAAAATAGTGCCCTGAATTCTTATCTATCAGTTGATTATATACCAGCTAAAATTACACTGAAACACAGAGGAAAATGAAAAGGCAGTAATCAGAATGCCAGATCTATATTACTGATCTTACTTTAAAATGTAATGGACTTATTAAATTAATGTACTATTCTACTGGTCTTCTCCAAGCAGCAGACCATGAGAATTTCTCTGGACTGAAACAGAGCAGCTTTGCAGAGTCAAATTATTAAGAATTTCCATATAACAGAGCCTGGCACTTGAAGGTACCTTTTTCAGACAGTTAGAGAGGACAGATCTATATGACAGCTCTGGTGTCCCAGTAAAACATTAATACTGTTAAAAATCCACCTTAAGGTTGACTTATCAAAGCATTAGACATGACAGTAAAACTGCCAGAAAATTTTTATGTTTATGATTTTCTGCTAAGCTGAGGTTTCGTCCATGCCAGACCTAACTTAAATTTCTTCATCATGTTTTTCACCACTATTGATCACCCATCATGATGCAACACCATTCTATTATCACTAAACCATGTTAGAAAATTATTTCAAATCAAATTTGCAAAGGACTTCAATTTAGAGAACAATTTACTTGGACTGATTAGGTGTATTAAATATTGTGGCCTTTATTCAAAGGTTTTGGCACCTAACCTGGTGTGCATTGATATTCTAGAAGAAATAATTAAAACTTCTTGAAAAGAAACTTTAAAATCCTTTATTCAAGGAATGCATCAATAATTTAGCAGCAAACATCTGACAACATCTTTATAAACAAGCATTCTTCTCACTACTGAATGCCTTTTGTCAAGGATCTCCTACCTCGCTTTTCTGGCATAAAAATTATTTTCAAGTATAAGGGGGGAAAGCTTTCTAAAAAAGTTATTGTGTCTTTTGAAGGGATCTTTCACTCATTTCTTGTGTTTTCTTGGAGAGCTCCAGCCTATTCCTTCAGGGTTTTTTTGTTGCCAATGTAATTCCAAACTTTTGCTGCTCAACATGCTGTAGCCACAGGAGCTTTCAGACCCTCCCAAGCTAAAGAGAACCAAGCCCTGTGAAAGCAAGAGCAATGAAGAGAGAAATGGATACCCACAGACATCCTCAAGATACTCACAGTCTTCATCCAAGAATTTGTATTGTATGTGTTTCTTGAAAAACTCCTGTATGGACCTACAGATCTCCTCGTGCTGCTTAGAGATGTGATCATAGTACTGGGTGTAGTCCCTCTGTGATATACCTGTCAATAATTTCAGGTAATTATAATTATAAAGAGCTCTAGGCATGCAAAAAAAACCCAACCAGAAAAAAAAAAAAAGCAGTTAGCAGACAAAGAAAATGGGATTTTCCCAAGTTTCTATCTTTATTAGTGACTTACTGTTTGGCTTTAGTCTGCTGTACTTAAAGTATTTCCATCAGGAATCTCTTCCTTGAACAGCTCTGTCCAGAATTTTGTGAACCTCATTTTATATGTACACACTTGGAATATTTTAAAGTGAATTTCAGGACGAAACTTTGCCTGTGTTTAAGTTTCCAGCTCCCATCTTTTCCTTTCAGTTTTATTCCTTTTGGTTACTCTGGTCCAAAACTTTGTTCTGCACATCACAATAAGGAACATGAAATGCCAGGGGTGGAGGCTGAGCATGCACATCAGCAAAGATGATCCTTGGATGCCACAGATTCTCATTTAACTGATTTTTCAAGTGTGGAATTAACATGTGCCTGCTTGATAAGGCATCCCGAAATCCCCAAATCAGTGGGATGGCATGCAGGCCAGACCTCAGTGCTCCCTTTCGCTCCCTCAAGGGTTTTCTTGCCTATGTGGACAAACCATTCCTCCTACAAGTTCTTCATTTCATACATTTGTCTACAAGACACTGGTTTAAAATGACATCAACAGGATTATACACTTGCATGCATCTTGAGTGACAAGAGTTCTCATACAGGATATGTGTCAACATAAAACATTGCAATACCCTGCTTGACAAATGTCAAATCCAAGACCTGCCCCATCACTGCAGAATGAGTAATTCAGGCTATTTACAGACAAAAAGAGACAGAATTCCCCAAGGAAGATGTATCAGTGACCCCAGTTTGCTGTTTAACCATATACAAAACACAGAGTTTTACTGTAAGACAATGCTGACTACTGCCAAAGATCTGCTCTTTTTTAAGAAGTTCATATAAAAATTTTGTGATGTCAGTGGAACTTCGAATTTTTAATACCACTTCAAAGCTTAACTTGAGTCTAAAAAAAAGCCCAAAAGATTATGGCATCTAAGGGGATGCAGATGTGTAACTGGAAAATCATTCACTACTGCAAGTATCATTCCTTAGTCTGACTGACAGGCTTATTAATTTTAAGGATATGGGAACATATTGTGAAAAATCTTGGAACTATCTTCAGACATGCAGCTGGAGTGCTAGCTAAAAAAAATCCCTTACTGGCAGATACACTAGGTTTCAAAAGCTGGCCATGAAATGTACAGAGTGCTTAATTAGCCAGTGCCCAAATGCTTTGCAACTCTGGCAGTTATGGTGTTCCAGCATCACAAGGCAGGACAGGATTCAGCTCTCCTCCCTTCAGAAAGCTCTGTCAGGAGCCATTAAGCAATGCAGACTTAATGGGAAATCTCTGCTATTAGGAAGATAAACTCTGTTACAGAGAGCTGTAATACACTTGCAACTGGCATAAATGGAGAGAAAATGGGAAGATGAGCACAGGAACACCAGACAGAAGAGCCAAATAAAAGGGCTTAGGAGAATGGTGTGTGTGGATTAGCACAGCTCAAATACTTGTGTGCAGCTCCATAGGAAACCCAACTCAGGAAATGAAGAACAGGGAGTGAGCTCCTAAAGGTTCACAGAGGTGCGACTGGATGGAGCAACAAACTGCTGACAGCTCCCAACAGGTACAAAAAGGCACAGCCAAAACAACCCACACTCACCATGCTAAGACAGGAAAAACAATGAGAACTACAAAGCCAATGTCCCTGGCAATGTTGGAATTTATAAAGTTAGAGGGTTTTTAGGAAATGGTTAAAAAAGTATAGGCTTTAGACTGAAGTTTTGTTAGTATTGTAGATATAGTAGAAAAGTTTCTTAAGTAAGTAGAAAAGTTTTTTAAGTAGTAGAGTATATGTGACAAATAACAATAGGCTTCTGTAGAATTAGTTTTAAGATGGCAACAAAGTTATTTAATGTATATTTTTAGAAAGTTAGTATGAATAGAGTGTTGTTTTTTGTTTCTTATGAATTAGTTTTTGTTTTAATTACTATTATGTGTGTTTTATAAGATTAGATAGAATGTTTGTCAATATGTGTTGTTTTATGTATGATTAGCTAAAATTTAGACTGAGATAGTTTTATGTTATTTTGTATCACTCTGCTTTCTCTGACATTCTCTGTAGATCAGCGAGCTGTTAACATCTTGTCTCCATTGTCTTGAGACTGATGTGCAAATAATAAAAAAGCTCTTCACTAGTCTAGTTTGTCTAGTGTTGTCTATATCTGGACGTTTTGCTGCAGCAAATAAGTTCTTTTCTTAAGATGTGAGTTCTTAACACAATTAGACTTATATCTACCCTTTGTCCCCATAATTGGTGCCCACCCGTGTAGATCAGCGAGCTGTTAATATCTTGTCTCCATTGTCTTGAGACTGATGTGCAAATAATAAAAAAAGCTCTTCACTAGTCTAGTTTGTCTAGTGTTGTCTATATCTGGATGTTTTGCTGCAGCAAATAAGTTCCTTTCTTAAGACGTGAGTTCCTAACACAATTAGACCTATATCTACCCTTTGTCCCCATACTGGCCTTCCACATCATCACAAGGAACCACTTGTGGATATGGAGCTTGGTGCTTGTGAATATGTAGGCATGAGACAGGCAAAGTGAGCAAACCTAGTTTGATCTTAAAGCAAAAAAAAAAGAAAAAAAAAAAAAAAATCACCTTTCTTCCTGTCGAGTCTGTATTTGCTCCATCACTGCTATAACACTTCCTTGTTAGAAGAGTTTAGGCAGAATGATTCAACCTTGTTCAGAACAAATGTGCACTAATCCTGTCCTATTTGAGTTTCTGTTCATCTCTAAAGATTTCATGGTAGACCACACCAAAATCAAACTTCAGAGTAGTAATCAGCCTGAAATTAAACCCCTCAATTCAAGCACCTGTATGTGCACTGGGTATCTCATTTCCTGCTATAGTCAGCAGAGAACAGTCACCACAACCAGAGGAGTAAAACTGAGCTAAATTTACCCTAAATTACCCTAAAATTACCCTACTCAGCTGCCTTCAACACATGCTCTAGCACAATCTGCCTGTTCTCCAGCTGCCAGAGGTCTCCCAATGCACCCACCAGCTCTGTGCATGCTGTGGATGGGTATCCTGGCTCTCCAGTGCCACTTGAAATGTTTTACATTCAGGATTCTGCACTGGAGTAACAGAACAACAGGCTCTAAGTACACCGAATTTAATATGAACTCAAGACACCTCCTACACCTGTGGAGGTGTTCTGACCTCCCCAGCTTTCTGCATATAACATCCTCATGGGGTCATGTATTTACAGCACAACACACAACTGCCTCTGTATTCATTCTGCAAGTTGGAGTCGATGCAATTTGCTCCTGAATGTAAAAGACTCAGCCTTTGGGTGAAGTTTCTGAATTAACAATTGAATTAAGAATATTCCCACTGTAATGGCAAGCATGCTGAGCTGTCAAGCTTTCAAATACAGTGGAAAGTGAGATGTGGTAAACCACATTTTAAATTACAGAAAGAATAAACCATTAATTCCAGAAATGAGGTGTGGAAAGAAAGAGCTTTCTTCAGCCTTAGCTCTCATTCAAGGAATCAGAGAAACTCCTCAAAACTTCATCCAATAATTTTGTTTTCAAGAAATTCCTTACCTAAAAGCTCATTTTCCTTGACAAAGCATCTGAATTCTGCACCAGGGATTAGTTCACACCATTTGCGAAGAACGAGCTGTGCAGGAAAAACAAATGACAAAGCCTTGTTTCAGCAAAGTAACAGCATCCTTTTGTCAACAGGTCTGCCTTTTAGAGCTACAGTTTGGCTGTAAAGATAAGATGACCAGTGATACTAGAGAACAAAACAATCTTTAATCTGCAGTTCACATAATCATCTTTGAAAATATTTCAAAACAATTAGATTTGATATTCATTTCAGAGAATCACAGAATGATTTCAGTTGGATGGCATCTCTAAAGACCACATAGTCTAAACTAGCTTAAAGCAGAAAGGTTCAGATTGGACATCAGAAACCATGAGGACTGTCAAGCATTAGAAGAGATCCCTCACAGACTTTGGGCAGCCTCCACTCACTGAGATTTTCAAGACAGATTTTATAAAATGCCAAATGAGACAATGTGATCTCATTCCTTAGCCAGCTTTGAGCATGAGGATGGACTAGGCACCTCCTAAGGTCCCTACCCACCCTAATTATCTTATGCTCTTCCACTTTGGACAGTATTTCTAACTGTGAACTCATTTATGAAGCAACTTCCAAGTTACATTAATGATAAAGCATGGAAAATAAAAGCCCTGCTGCACACCACAACAAATCTGTCATGGAATTGGCAGAAAGTTGCTCCCTAGTCAAAGGAGCTGATGAGCAGAATTAAATTTATCCAAATCAACCTCTATTCTGGTACACACCCAAGCAGAATTCTGTGACGCCTTTAAACCAGTTAAAATAAGGACACAGGACAGAAATAGGAAGCAAACTATTATAGTCAATAGGACAGACTGCCTGGGAATTAAAGCATCTTTCTGACACTTTCTCAAGTTTCTCTATTCCTAAGCTGAAATATTCTGAAGGATTGATGTTTTTAAGGCCCCAGTTACTGCTAGTGGATGCTGGAAACTCCCAAACCCTTTAAACTGCAGCAGAAAGCTTCAGTAACCAGAGATGACATTGCTAACTATGGTGTTAACATTAAACTCTTTGTTCCAACTTTTACATGTCCCGTATCTTTAAAGCACACTTGATAGTGCTTTAAAATAAAACAAGGTTCATTCACTTTTGAAAAGCCCTTTAAGCCCACTGCATGATGACAAATGTTATATTTACATAAAAACTATTATTAGAGAGATGACTAGATGTTACCACAAGAGCAGTAGCTCCACATTAACAGTTTGAAGCATCTCTAGCTGAACATTTTTATCTGGTAACAAACATAGGAAACAAGATGTGACAGAGCAGTTCAGGATGTCCCCAGCCACTGCAGCAAGCCTCCCCCTTGGTAACCTCAGTGTGAAGTTCACAAGCAGCTCACCATCAAGAATACATTTATTTGAGCCACTGAACTTGTCCTTCCTGTCACAACCTGACAGACATGAGAGGACATTGCAAGGAAGCTTCTCAAGTCTGCACTTCAGCCCACCTCATCTGCAATTAAATGAACTTCTTATGACCTGCAGGGCTGAACCAAACTTCCCTTCATATGGAAAGGAACATGAATAAAACAAACATAACACATTTAGTGGACAGAAACCCAGCCACAAACGTCACCCAGCCTGTGAGCAATTCTTTTAAATTACTCAGAAATCATGCAAGGAGTCCTACCTCATAGTTCAAGGAAGGATCAGGGGAATCATCTGTACAGTGAATAAATCTGGAAAAGTAAGGCACAGGCTTCAAAATCTGTTTTACATGTAAGATTTTAGCCATAGTGAGACAAATAACCCCAAACTGAAACATAATTGAAACCCCAATAAAAATAACCCCAAATAACCCCAAACTGAAACAGTTCTCGTGTGAAACATAAGAACTACTGTTAAATTATTTCCAACATGTACAAAGGAAATAAATGCAATACATAACTCTCCTTTTTAACAATTATCATGGGAAAAAAAACAGAATAATCACCTTTTTTATTCTAGTGCAATTTGGAAGCACTTAAATCCAGAGAGGGATGTGTCCCAAACGTCAGTGTTTATTCACTGTTGATTTATTTCTGTTTGAATCAACAGTGCTGCTCTTTTCCCCTTGTATTGTTATGTTGGCATAACTGAATTCTCAAAAACCCAATAAACTTGAGCAATCTAATCCAGTTTCACTGCAGCATGTTTTGCCAAGTACTTTTAATGTTTAACTTCCCAAACCACACAACAGAGACACATCATCGTGCCTTACAGCAGTTCATTTCCATGAATAAAGGATGCAAAACAGCACTGCAGCTTTGCACTCCTGATTCCATAGCATGGTATTTTCTAAATTAAGAGCCTTAAGAAATACTCTTACAAATCCCTTGAGAGTGGGATAAACAAAACTATTTCCACAACTGCAAGCAGATGTCAAGGTTTTGTCCCTTGTGAGGAGCTGACTCTTGGTCTCCTTTCAGGAACTGGAAAGAATGGAGCAGTTATAAGGCAAATCAGCTTCCATGTACCTTTTTGTCATTTTTCAGTAAACCTTGCAATAGATTCTGTAACTTTCAAAAGGTATTCACAGAAGAACATGTGTTTTTCTTCCATTTCTACTCCCTGACCTTATTGGCAACAAACTACTTGGAAGCACAGAACTGTGTGAAGGGTCACTGCTGAGCAATAGTCCTAAATACAATATTTATAGGATCTCCTTTTGGCAGTGAGCTTCATTCAGCAACCCAAAAGTCTCATATAAACATTGCATTTGTAAGACATGGCTTCCCAGCCTTTGGTTTGAAGTGAAGAGCTATTGTAAGAGTTCATTCTGTATGCTGCCAGCAGAAATAAATTTCACACATTTTACTTTAGACTTTAATATCCACAACACACAGAAAAGTAGGGCAATACAGGCAGGCTTTCCAAAAGCACAGTGATCAAACACATCATATATATTTCTGTAAGCCTGTGTAAACAGATAACATCCTTCAGCTACACTTCAGATTCCCCTCAATTTAAGATCTGTCAAAGCAACAGAAACAAACCCATGAGAGCTCACAGTTTTGCTAGAGTCAGAATTCCTCTTTTACTAGAGTATATGCCTATCATGCTGAAGAAAATATCCCCCTCACACACAGAGCCAATAATAAACTTATCTACAAAGGCAGCTGAAGTCCAGCATGTGGAGTTTTACAGTGCCTGCACACAAGGATTGGTATTACCTCTCACAGCCTCCATATCTGAGGCTGGGGTTCCTGAAATCCACTTCATTCCAATTACAGTCTTTTCCAGCAGCCAAAAAACCCCAGCCTTATAATCAAAATTATTCCCTAACTCAACCTAAAATATTTTGGGTATGAGCTATGTGGGGAAGGATGGTTCCTCTTCCCTTGTAAATCACAAAATTAAATCCTTGGGTGCCATCCCAAGCCCCACAGACTGTGCAGGTATCTCTGCCAAATCAACCACACAGGCAAAAATACTGCAAGACACAGTAAGGGTATTTTTGGTTTTGAGCCTTAATGACACAGGACTAAGTACAAATATGGAAAAAAATGGGTGAACACAGCACAAGGCAAAATAAACTCATATTTCTGTAATCTAATTTTCCTTCTTAATATTATAATGAATTTTCATTGACAAAAGGCCACTTTTGTTCTGGGAGTAAAATTTGGGTGATTTGAGGTTACAATTTTATATTTTTTACCAGCTCATTGTAGTATTTATTGATGAAACCTATCTCAACTTGTGTACTACAGATGAGCTTTTGATCTCTAGAGGCACAGTGCTAAGTGGGGTGTCTTCAACCCACATCCTATTCAGGTTTGGGCATCCTTGAAAGAACAATCACAAAGATGTCAGGAACCCCAAACTGACACATACCTGGGCTGTATTTTCTGAAGCCTCTGAAAATTGTCATTTTGAATTGGTGAAAGGATCAAGCTCTTCTGTTGTGTTCTGGTCAACAGTTTTTTTACAGAATTACACTTAGAAGTCATGACCAGAAGGATCAAGATCTCATTATATGTGGCAGCTCTGTGTCAAACTCCAAATGCAAATACTTGACCACAGGACATGCTACAGAAAGTGATTATGCAGGTCAGTTTTCAACACTAAGAAAAGCAAAGGGTTGGCAAGTTTCTCCAGTACCCACCCTGCTAAGAAAGTCATGAACTCATCTGCAAATCACTGAGAGAATTAGGAATTATTATGAATATGATGAGAATTGTGAAATTTATTCTGTACCTGATACTTCCCTGTTATTATCTCATGGTAAATTTTAAAATCTTATTTAAAAAAGAATAAGGAGAAGTTTTTAAGAGCCTTTGAACTGTATCTTTATTCCTCTTGCTGGAACTCTGAGGCCTAAAAGAAATTGGAAATTCATACACCACTGCAAAGAGAATCTTGTACCACACTGTAAATTGCTAGGAAAAATGGGCAAGAGTAAAACCTCAAAATAAAATAAAAAAAAAAAATCACCATCAAAGGGCTCATTTTCCACATTCTCTCATGTGCAACTGCCTACCTTGAAACAATTTATATTAAACCTAAACTATCAGCTCCTGCAAAAAGATACTGGAGTGCTGAGGCACATAGTTCATGGTCCAACACTGCCTCCTATGTTCTGTTATGAGAACACAGGTTGTTATTCTTCCACATCTCAAAAAACATTGAAATTTCCCTGCAATTTGGAATTCAATATTAAAAGCACTAAGTTTGGCATCAGAAATGTTGTCAGAATGCAGAGGCACTATCACATCATTAGAAGTACTGCTAATATTTCTACCAGCCTCAAGGTGAGCAATCAATCCTATTTTAACAAAACACAGTCCACCTACTCTAACCATAAGGAAGAAAACTGTATTTTACACCAACACATTCACCAGGGCTATACAGAGCTTTTTGTTCAAAAGAGGAGTTTTAATCACTTAACAGAAATCCCAGTTAGAAAAGGATTTTTTTTTTATCACATATACTCAACACTAAATTTCTGAAAGCCTACATTAATTCCTGAAAAATTAGGATCACACCACCCACAAGAATTTTGTGAACTCAGCTAAGTAAATCACAATGCTGACTTTGAAGCAGAAACAACATCAACTGCATTAATGAGTACATTCCTCTGAAGTCTTTTGTTAATTTATTTAAAATTAACATGCTGGAAAAGGTGATTTATTAGTCTGAACTCTTCAACCAAGGTGTCAGCATCATGAGAGAATCCAAACTTTTAAAACAGTCAAAGCAATCTAATCATGCTCAGTATATTTGCACTGAGTCCATATTTTTTAATAGTTTGTATTGGAGCATTACATGATTGAAGTTTTCTCAGAACTTGAGACAGTTGAGAGTTACAATAAGGGCATTCCCTGAGCTGAACAATGTTTAGAGGCAGACAGGAAATGGGAGAAGAAGAAAAGGCAAAGAAAGTGATTTGCCTTAAGTCCCACATCACTGGCTTAAATTTCTAGGTTAAAATCCAGGTCTACAAATTGCCATTGCAGCACATTTACCATATTATGGCCCATGAAGTGGATATTTAAGTTTATACAATTGCACAGGAAACAAAACAACAACACCAAAAAAAGAGTATTCAGCATTTCAGCTGTTACTTATGTAAGGCAAGAAACCTTTAGACCACACTGAGCATTACTGACAAAGTAAAAATATAGTGCATTTCTCCTCTCTCCAAGTAGTCCTTCCAAGGGATTTGGATGCATTATGTATGTAATTTTCATTTGTTCAGCACTTCAGGTTCTTATGCCAGCTACATTTTTAATTTCTGCTGGCTAAGGCCTAGTGAACTGGCAGCTAATCAATAGGATAATTAAGGACGACCACTGTTCTGATTTAGCAATAATCATTGCACTGTTTGGGGACATTCTGTACAAATAACTTTGTCATTTAGAAACACCAAGCAGAGACTGGACAATAATATATGCTTTAATCAAGTATGACATAGTCATAAATTACAAGATACACACAGAGACCAAGGTGATTTCCCACAACCATGCCATAAGCTTTATTTTTTTACCGCCTTAGCTGTGCTGTCTGTGGTCTTATCACATTGGAAAAGGAGCCTAAATGGACTGGAGCAGTGGAGTTTGAGGTGTTGCCTTTCTACAAGAGTTTATTCTCCTACAGCAGGATCAGGAGGAGGGAATGTGCCTGCTATGCCACCATGGCTCTTGTGTGAGCTTCAGGTGAAATCACTGATGCTCCAAAGGCATCAGCCATGCTGAGAAACCTCACACCAGAGCCCCAGAATGTCCTCACTGACTGCAGGGGGGAAGAGCTGAGGCACTGACTGGAACTGAAACAAGATGAATCTGGGCAGAAAATGCACTGATTTCAGTATCAGAGAAGGTGGTTGAGCCAATTCATTCTACCACACAAAGAGTTGCCACATCTAAATCAAGTGGCACTTGCTGGACACTTGCTTCCTTCCAAGAATCACTAGGAAACAGTTAACCAACAGGAATTCTGCAAAGAGCTCTGGGTACTTTTTGCTGGACCTCTTTATGCATGAAGACAGTAAATACAAACTCCATACTATTTAACATTCTCAAAGGGATGATGCAAAGTGTGCAGCCCTTTTCAGACCTACAAGAATCAGTCCTGAAAGCCACTGCAACAAAAATCTTACTGCTCAATTCTATGAACAAGCCATCCTCCAGACACCCCACCTATTAGGGGAAACCCTCCTTGGGCAGGCACCAAAGGCTTCCTTGTGAGAATTCACTCACCTCTGCCATGTAAACTACAGATTTCTCATCTCCCCCATTCCTTTCATTTTCTGTGACCCCAGAATCATGAATTCTCATTCTTCACAATTGTATCCCAAGCCCAACATACTCTTCAAACTGTTTTATCTCTCCAATATCTTCTCCCCTCCTCCTCCTCAGTCTCTTCCCCAGCACCTCCTCTCATTGCAGGTTAGGCATGATGTAAAACCCAACATGAGAATTGGACTTACAGCCTTGCTGTCAAAAACCCTCTTTTTTTTTTTTCCATGTACGAAGAAGTGGGGGAAGAGAGTCTCATTAGAGTTGGAGGATTAAAAAAGACGGCAGTTTCACAGTATTAATGTTAAAAGGCTTTACTTTTACACTTTAAAAAGAAAATTTTTGTCAAGACATAAGCCACTTGACATGAAACTTACACCTGTTAACCCCTTATAAGGCACCTAGAACAATGGCTCTGTATTTGACTGAGTCTCCAGAAAGATCCTGTACAGTAAATAAGCACTGAATAATTACTGGAAAAGAATCTCTCAGCCATGGACTGCCACTTTTCTTTGAAATTCTGCTTGTCTAGGAAATACAAGAAGTAACCATAGTAACAGAAATATCAACTCCAGTAATCTCATTTTCTTTGAGAAAAATGCTGTACTTTAGAAATGAGTGACATAAATCAAAGAGATGCAGGTACTACAGGAGGAAACTGTTCTTATACAATTAAATACTCCCTTCAGGTGAGCAGATAAAAATCAACACCAAGCACATCATATTTTTAATTTCATCTGTAATTGCTATCCTTAGTCACCTGCAATGTATTTGTTTCAAGAGCTACAAGAACTTGGGTTCAGAACAAGCTCTAGAAATATGTGATATATATAAGCAGAAGTCTCAAGCATCTTCCACACAGCCACAAAAACCTCAACAGCTTTAAAATAAAAGGACATAGTAAAGTCACACTGTAAGTGGCACCAATAAGGAGGGTAGCAACAAGTAAACACCAAGAGGGGTGGGAAGGCAAAAAATCTCAAAAATACAACATGACTTGCTCTGGAAAGGTGGTAAAAAATATAATCTTAGTCCATACTGTCAGGGCACACTGGTTGCATGTGTTACTTTAATGTGTTTCTGGTTTGCTTCTGGCTGTTCCTGGCTGTGTGTAACTGATTTGTCTGCTGGAAATGAACTTACGGCTGGGTGAGGTCACGGGTGATGAAGTCTGAACTCTTGAAGAGCAGGAAGATGTCACTGAGAGCTTTACATTTCAGAGAGCTGTTCATTGCTATCCAGTAGGCATCCTAAAAAAACACAGATTACCTGAAACACACCTTTATGAGCAAGAGAGACTGCAAACTTCAAGTCTATCTAAATATTATGCAACGCTTGAAATACATGCAGAAAAGTATTTCTTTTTATTTTGAGGAAAACTTCATTAGTGGTTAAAAGAGACAAGATAATTATTGCTTTTCTTATGAATACTCTGATGAAAGCAGTGCAAATTCATTTGCAAAATTAGGTTTTTGCCTTACTGCTTCCAGGAGCTTTCTTGGAATCCTTGACTGAACACAATGTCTCTTGAGAACACAAAACAACAATATTTGGGTGCACTCATCCTTATGGTATAGTTAAGAGTACTTAAAATTAACTAGGGGAAAGTTTATTGCCTTTTTTTTGAAACTGTGGTGCTTTTCATCTTTATATCAGGTAAAGGTTTCAACTAGTATCCTGAACTAGTTTTACATAGTAAAGTCAGTGCTGCCATACATCAGCCTCCCTAAAAATGCACCATCACCACCTAGTGATAGACAAGATACGAGTACCTAAAATTAACTAGGGGAAAGTTTATTGCCTTTTATTTGAAACTGTGGTGCTTTTCATCTTTATACCAGGTAAATTTTTCAACTAGTATCCTGAACAAGAGCCTGCCCCTCACACAACCATCTGTGACCAGGACATAGGTTTTATATTGGAAAGTGCTGCCATGCATCAGCCTCCCTAAAAATGCACCATCACCACCTAGTGATGGACAAGATATGAGTACTTAAATAAACTAAAGGTGAGTTTATTGCCTTTTTTTTGAAACTGTGGTGCTTTTCATGTTTATTCCAGGTAAAGGTTTCAACTACTATCCTGAACTAGTTTTAGATAGTAAAGTCAGTGCTGCCATGCATCAGCCTCCCTGAAAATGCACCATCACCACCTAGTGATAGACAAGATATGAGTACCTAAAATTAACTAAAGGAGAGTTTATTGCCTTTTTTTGTCATATATAGTGATAGACAAGATATGAGTAGCTAAAACTAACTAGAGGAAAGTTTATTGCCTTTTTTTTTTTGAAACTGTGGTGTTTTCATCTTTCTGCCAGGTAAAGGTTTCAACTAGTATCCTGACCAAGAAGAGCCTGCCCATCACACAACATCTGTGAGGATATAGGTTTCAGATAGTAAAATCAGTGCTGCCATGCATCAGCCTCCCTAAAAATCACCATCTAATGACAGACAAGATATGAGTACCTAAAACTAACTAGAGGAAAGTTTATTGCCTTTTTTTTTTTGAACTCTGGTGCTTTTCATCTTTATATCAGGTAAAGGTTTCAACTACTATCCTGAACTAGTTTTAGAGAGTAAAGTCAGTGCTGCCATACATCAGCCTCCCTAAAAATGCACCATCACCACCTAGTGATGGACAAGATACGAGTACCTAAAATTACCTAGAGGAAAGTTTATTGCCTTTTTTTGTCATATATAGTGATAGACACGATATGAGTACCTAAAATTAACTAGAGGAAAGTTTATTGCCTTTTTTTTTTTTTGAAGCTGTGATGCTTTTCATCTTTATACCAGGTAAATTTTTCAACTAGTATCCTGAACAAGAGCCTGCCCCTCACACAACCATCTGTGACCAGGACATAGGTTTTATATTGGAAAGTGCTGCCATGCATCAGCCTCCCTAAAAATGCACCATCACCACCTAGTGATGGACAAGATATGAGTACTTAAATAAACTAAAGGTGAGTTTATTGCCTTTTTTTTGAAACTGTGGTGCTTTTCATGTTTATTCCAGGTAAAGGTTTCAACTACTATCCTGAACTAGTTTTAGATAGTAAAGTCAGTGCTGCCATGCATCAGCCTCCCTGAAAATGCACCATCACCACCTAGTGATAGACAAGATATGAGTACCTAAAATTAACTAAAGGAGAGTTTATTGCCTTTTTTTGTCATATATAGTGATAGACAAGATATGAGTAGCTAAAACTAACTAGAGGAAAGTTTATTGCCTTTTTTTTTTTGAAACTGTGGTGTTTTCATCTTTCTGCCAGGTAAAGGTTTCAATTAGTATCCTGACCAAGAAGAGCCTGCCCATCACACAACATCTGTGAGGATATAGGTTTCAGATAGTAAAATCAGTGCTGCCATGCATCAGCCTCCCTAAAAATCACCATCTAATGACAGACAAGATATGAGTACCTAAAACTAACTAGAGGAAAGTTTATTGCCTTTTTTTTTTTTTAACTCTGGTGCTTTTCATCTTTATATCAGGTAAAGGTTTCAACTACTATCCTGAACTAGTTTTAGAGAGTAAAGTCAGTGCTGCCATACATCAGCCTCCCTAAAAATGCACCATCACCACCTAGTGATGGACAAGATACGAGTACCTAAAATTACCTAGAGGAAAGTTTATTGCCTTTTTTTGTCATATATAGTGATAGACACGATATGAGTACCTAAAATTAACTAGAGGAAAGTTTATTGCCTTTTTTTTTTTTGAAGCTGTGGTGTTTTCATCTTTATATCAGGTAAAGGTTTCAACTAGTATCCTGAACTAGAGCCTGCCCATCACACAACATATGTGACCAGGATATAGGTTTTAGATAGTAAAGTCAGTGCTTTTCATGCATCAGCCTCCCTAAAAATCACCATCTAATGATAGAGAAGATATGAGTACCTAAAATTAACTAGGGGAAAGTTTATTGCCTTTTTTGGTCATATATAGTGATGGACGAGATAGGAGTACCTAAAATTACCTAAAGGAGAGTTTATTTTTTTGAAATAAATTTTAAAAAAAATTTGTTTTTTTGAAACTTTTTTGAAACTGTGGTGCTTTTCATCCTTATACCAGGTAAAGGTTTCAACTACTATCCTGAACTAGTTTTAGATAGGAAAGTCAATGCTGCCATGCATCAGCCTCCCTGAAAATGCACCATCACCACCCAGTGACAGACAAGGTATCAGTGAAGTGGTGGATTCCATTTAAGAGTAGAGAATTCACCACCTCACTGATATCTTGTGTTTCACTTCTTCCTCCATCAGAACCACTCGTCTCTTCTTCTTTCCAAAGCATTGAGAGAAAACAAAAACAAAACATTTTGTATGACAACATCTGTTACAAGTTTTGGGAGCCAGCATTCTTACCCTTGGAGCACTCCAGTTGAGTTTAGGAAAAACACTGCCACCCAAGGAACTTATTGCTTCCTGAACTTTAGCTGTGAACTCGGGAAATTCTGGTGCCTGAATAAAGAACAACAGCAAAAGAAAAATTTCAATACATTTAATAGAAGTGTAGCCATCTTCTAAATACTATTAGAAATATATATTGCATTAGAATTAAGTCCAAAATCAGTATGAATCTCAGAAACATACTGTACAATAAACTTATTTAAATAAAACACTTTATCAAATCTGTCATTTTTTCAATCAGAGAAAACTGAAAATGCTCCCAGTTCTCATCTCATTACTAGCAGGTATCATGAACTTCAGGAGAAAACCCAAAACATCATAACAGTCACCATGAAAACTGCAATAGCTGTCAAATAACCAAACCTTCAATCCTTACCTGTTGGTTTATATCCTGTGGTAAATTATTGTATACAAATAAGATCCAGTAATATTTAAACTTCTAAAGAGTGATTTTAGAATTAAAGATATCTTTATCAATTCATAGGCAATTTGAGTGACAGCTGCTCATTTAGGCTCTAGTTTTATAAAATGTTAGTAATACTTTAACTAATCTGCTCTTCAATTAGCTCTTAAAGTAGCTGCTTAACAATATGTTGATTCAAAATAGAGGACAGACTGCAAAGGCTGGACTAGAAAACCTTGCCTTCTAAAGAACATTGAAAATCTAAGATTGAGGTAAAAAAAACCCCAACTCTTCAGGTTGCTCCAAACTCTACCCTGAATGTGGTGCTACAGAAAATAAACAGGTTGCTGACCTTTAAAATAATATGGAAGGATTTGAAGCATATGTGAAAGATTTTTCATATAATAGGATTTATAACAAGAAGTATATAGGAACATGATTTTTACCTATTTTGAAACTCAATTCAAAAGTAACTCCTAGGCTAAAGCCAATTGATGCTTCTAAAACAACAAAACCCTCACAGCCATACAAGTGAATAAAAAAACTCATACATGCTGCCATCCCCTCACTGCAGCTTCCCCAAATGCAAACACTTTAAAAAACCTTCTCACATTTTAGTGCAGTGACCTGGAATGAACTTCCAGCATTCTGAACCTTTCCTTCATGTTACCTTGTCTCCATGGGAAACTACAGTCAGAAAACTGAAAAAAACACTTCTCTAATTTTATTTTTAGACTTTCAGTTGATTCTGGAAACTGCTCCTGCAAGAAGTAAAACTCTTCATCCACTGCATTCTGATCCAAGCTTCTCTTGTTTTGACAGGAATCAGGAGTCCTGCTATATATGTAATACCAGCACATGCTGAGCCTCCTTGGGAAAATGTTACCAATGTGTTATTTGATTAATACAAGAGGATAAATATACACACAAGAGGAAAGTTCTACAACTGCATAAACAAGCTGGACTCCATCATTTCCTGAATTCTGAATGCCTGGCTTTGTAACCATTAATATTAATGCAAGTTATTCTAAAATCAGAATTTTCTGCCCCTCCACTGGTCTCATGAGGAAGCTGCAGACTTACCTAGATATACAAGAGTGATTTGCCCTGTGCTCTTCTGACAGGTAAATACCTCTTAATTATGAATTTCCTTATTGTGTTCTACATTATAACAGAACCTGATTAAAAACTCTGGTTTTACTTATTTAGCATCATCACCATGAGCTTTGCAAACCATGACGGATCCTAAACCCTTTGTTTTAAATAATTGACAACTAAGGGAATCCAGGTTATCAAAGGCTAAATATTTGAACTGCAGATTAATCAGAGTGCACAAATTTGAAATGCAATAGTTTTAAACTCTAGGCTATAAATTCTGCGCTAGCAGAAGCACCACTCAAAGCAGGGCTGTGATTATATGGCACCTAATCAAACATGAGCAATTCCACACCCTGATGAACATTAGGGAACTAAAGTCGTAGCATTGATGGCAGACAAGTGCCTTGAGTACTTCAACTCTGACAGTGACGGGGCAACAGCAAATTTCAAAAAAAGATGTAAGAAAAACATCAAGAAAGCCTGGTTTGCATCCATCATGATCCTGACCCCTTGTGCAAGGAAACCATAAAGACAGGAAAAGAAAAAATAACATGATAGAGAGAGATGTACTAAGAAGAAATAATGGCACATCAAGAGAAAAGTTGTGAATATTAAGCTGCAGGGGCTTGGTTCCTTCTGCATCCAGTCTGATTAAATAATTTGGAGATACTCAAAGTGGTGAAAATGAAAGAGCTATATTTAGAGCTGTACTGCAGCTCATTTCCTAGGGTCTAACAAGTGTATGATTGTCAGGGATGAAGAAAAGTGTTTTATTTTAGTTAAATAAAATTAAGCCAGCAAAACCTGTTGGAAGTTACAGACATCTGTACTGCCACCCATCTAAAATGGTCTGAAAAATGTTAAATACAGCAAGAGACATCTCTAACCAGCAACAAGTTTGTATCACAAGGCTGCAGAAAGGAAACTGCTGCCAAACCCACACTGGGCTTTCACAGGACCTTACCTTAAGTGTTGTAGTGTTCTCATCATCTGACCACTGTTCAAAATAAGAACAAAGCAAATGTTACCAGCTTCCTGAGCCATCCTTTATAATTTATGAGAATATCAGAATTCATGCAGCCTCTTACAACATGGAGTTCAAATCATTGCCCCAGACAGCATAACATCACCATCCTGCAATTATTTTGGCTGTTAAGTAAGACAGGAAAAACACTGTATATTCAGCAGAAGTACTACTCTAAAGTATTGATAAAAAGATACCTCTATGTTTCAAATTTGATTTATTTCAGAAAGATGAACATTTCAGAACTCAGTTTTCCCAATCTACAACTTGTCTCCAGCTCCAGCACTTCCATCCTTAGACTCATGATCCATTAGCTTCACTTTTATTTATTTTTCATCTCCTTGTTGTACCTTCTGTCACTTGTAATTACAACATTTTTCAGTGTTTTCCCTCTAGAATGGCCTTCTGAGTTATTATGGCCTCAGAAACTTTCACTGTTTCTTGAAGTAACTACTCCAAATGTACTCCTAATTTTTCAGGGCATGAAACAGCATTAAGTTCAATTTCTACATTCCCCAATCATTATTACAAATGCAATTATCAAGAAATGAAAAATAAAAAGTCTTCTGTGAAAGAGCATAGAGATATCTTAAACTTTCCCTGACTTCCCAGCATTAGTGATCCCATTTTTATGTTTTCCATGGCAACTACCACATGATAATTATTTCTGTGAAGGGCTCTCCACACCTATAAATTATGCAGAAAAAGTTATACACTCATATTTTTCTCAAGAGACTTGACATTAATTTGCATTTTATGCTGACCTGTATCTCCTCTGCATCATCACTCCCCTCCTGAGCATGACTTGGTGGATCTTCTCTGAAACAAAAAATTAACAGGAAAAAAAATTAAGCACTGGAGTTTGACTTGACCATGTCCATTACATTTCCACAGCATTTCCAGCTCTTGATGTCAAAATGTTTTCCTAAGAAGATTAAACCTCAGAACCCTGGCAGAGAAAAATCAGAGATGCCAGTACTGAAAACTAAAGACCAAATAGCTGGCACTAGGCCTAGGTCCCACCCTGAACACTTTGCTTCTTTCCAATTAGCAGATCAGTTTTTGCTCTAAAACACCATAATTGAAGTTTTTGGCACCTTGTTAATGATTCTTTTCCAACTTTACTGTACACTGACACAAACACAAATTAATTTTTTTAATAAGTTCAATTTAAATTTTTGCCTCCATACTCCCTTTCCAAGTAAAAATTCATAAATCTTGAGTTTCAAATGTTGACCTGTGAATTTCTGGCCCTGAAAAGAAAATGTCCACACACTCAGCACACAGACCAAAGATGATCCCATGGAAAGTGGAGAGTGCAGCAAACAGGGCAAGGTCAAATGTACATCCCTGGCAAAAGTCAATTCTTAGACAAGCTGAGTCTCTGCAGTTCCACAAGGACTAAACCATCAATCCACTTTTTGAGATCTAGAGGTCAGATAGGGGTGCACTGAAGGTTAGAGGCAATCTTGGCCTTGACTGCAACAAGATCACATTCACTTATAGCTAAGGAAATTCAACTCAGAGAAAAAAATGGTTTCTAAAATGGAATTTTAACTGCAAACATCTTAAAAATGTAATTTAAGTCAATCATAGAGCTGTCCATTCCCCATTGAAGACAGCAAAATTGTAGAACACAGCTAAGCCAAACCTTCAATTTCAGCTTTTCTGAAGGCTTATTAAAATCTACAGCTGCTGCTAAATAAATTCCACAATTCTGCAGAAGCAGGTGACAATGCTACTTCTGATCCAGAATAGTTTAAAAAACAATTCTAATTTTCTGGATAACCTTTAATAAGAAAAATAATTTATAAATTAAAATTAAACCCTCTAATGTTTACTAGGCGTTTAAACAGCTTCAGTTTTTATATAAATTGATAGCTGATAAATCAAACCAAGCTCCCTTTCACACACAGCCTCACTGGCTGCTCTGCAAGGGGCAAACTCCCAGCTAGGGAACCATGGAGTGAGGACTGATTTCTGAGTTTGATCATTAACAAGATGCAGGCAGCAACCATTCCACAAGGGAACCACACACTGAGATCCCACACAGAAACAAAGAGCAAGGCCTGTGTCCTCACCAACTGCTCCTGCTACCTCTCCACTCATTGCTCTGCATCCAAAATCCTGGCATGGGTGTTCACACAGGACATTCAGCTTTGTCATATGCATGAATCACCCATATGCAAATAATTATATAAAATGTTACTAATTATTGAGTCTGTCTATAGCTTATTTTATTGAGAATTAAGCTCAGGAAATGTCACTTCACCCCTGGACTGGCATGGGACAGGTCAAGCCTGTGAATTGGACCCAACCAGATCCAAAGAAGCAAACACAAACCATCAGCTGAGCATCCCCAAAGAAGGGTGGAGAAAAAAATGAAAGGACTTTGTCCACTTGGTCTAGAAGGAACTGTAGTTCATGGATTTTAGGATCTGCTTCAGGCACCAGCAAATCCAGCTGTACTAACAACAGTCAGCCCATTCACATGCTCACAGTGTGAGGTTTACTGCAGTCACACTGCTCAAATTGAAAAACTCATTATGCTCAATACAATATGAATATACAAAATGGTGCTGTGAATAAAAAATGACATTAATACTTGGAGGCTGGGGAGAAAACACACTTTACCTTCCAGAAACCACCAGTGTTCCATCATCCAGCAAATACTCTTTCACATTCTCTGGCAGGGGAAGAATAACACTGGAAGAAATGTGAAAATCTCTTTAATACTTTATTATTACTTGTTATAATAAAATTCTAGTGGAATAAAAGAATTTGGTTTTTTCATAGCACATACCCCAACAACACTAAGTTTTATCCTCTAACATTATGGAAGAAAATTCTTTCACCCATCTTATCCCTCACCCAAAAAAGCAAGGCCCATTTTCCCTCCATGGAAGCACAGGACAAAAATTTTAGATGAAATACACAAAAATGCCCCACTCCTTCAAAGGTCTAAGAAATTCCAAGTAAAATTGTGTGCAGCTTGTGAGGAGACAACATGTTGCTCAAACTAAAGTTTTCCTTCTGAAATCCAAATCAAAACTTGCCTGTGCCATCCTAACATTCCAAAAACACAGGACTATCACTAAACTTACCAAAAATAAACACTAAGAAAGATAAAAGATCAAATGCTTTGATTACTAAAAGCATGATGTCAGCACTTTTTGACCCAGCGGGGCAGCTGTCTCGACTTTCCTGAGTACTGGTAGCTCTTGTAACCATCTCATGACCTGCAGCAGCACCTTAGAAACTGCAGATTTTCCTGTGGCTTCCAGAAATACACAGAAACACCAAGGTGGCCACTTGGGTTGGATCGATTCAGTCACAGTTTAAGTAGGAATAGCAATGTGGATAGCAGGATGTGGATAATAAGAACAGAGTGGATATCTCCTGATGCTCAGCATGGAGTCCCACCAGGAGAGCAGGGAGCACAGGGGTGCCTGGCCTGCCCCAGGGCTTCCCAAAACATCCCTTGGGATGTGGAGACAAGACCCCAGTTCCCTGGGGTGTAGCTGATGGCTCAATCAATCCTCCACCACCTCCAGCCCAGCTCTGCCCCACACAGGCCCCTCTATCTGACCCAACCCCACAGAATCCAGAATGGGTCAGGCTGGAAGGGAGCACAGGGTTCATCTGCTCCAACCTCCCTGCTCAGGCAGGGCCATCCCAGAGCACAGGGCACAGGGATGTGCCCAGACCCTTCTGGAATATCTCCAGTGAGGGAGACTCCACACCCTCCCTGGGCAATCTGCTCCAGTGCTCGGTCACCACTCAGGACAGAAATTCTTCCTCACGTTCAGGTGGAACTCCCTGGGCATCAATTTCTTCCCTTTGCCTTCTATTGCTGGGCACCACCAAGCAGAGCCTGCTCCATGCTTTGGCACCCCCTCATTAATGTAGTCATTAATGTAGTCCCCTCTCAGTCATCTCTTTTTCCTTCCAGAACCTGAAGAGAACTTGCATGAAAGATGAAGCAAGACTATTTACAAGAGACTGTAATGACAGCATATGGGAGAACGGGTTCAAACTGAGAGAGAGTCAGTTTAGATAGATATTAGTGTTATAAATTCTTTCTTGTGAGGGTGGTGAGGCCCTGGCACAGGCTGCCCAGAGAAGCTGTGGCTGCCCCATCCCTGGAGGTTGGAAGGAGCTTGGAGCACCCTGGTCTAGAGGAGGGTGTCCCTGCCCATGGCAGGGGATTGGAACCAGAAGATCTTTAAGGTCCCTCCTAACCCAAACCATTCTGTGATCCCTGAACAGGCCCAGCACCCTCAGCTTTTCCAGTCCCTTAACACGCTCGGAGCCCTGCACTGGACCCGCTCCAGGATCTCCATGTCCCTCCTGCTCTGAGGAGCCCAGAAGCGAACACAACACGCCAGGTGAGCTCAGCAGGGCTGAGGGGAGGAGCAGGACACCCTCCCTCGCCCCACACGCTCCCTTAATACCCGCACCGCCTCCCGCAGCCCCCGCGGCCCCTCACCGCCCGCACCTGCGGATGGTGACTGCCTTGAAGAGCGGGTACCACACGGAGAACTGGCAGTGCGCCACCTGCTCCTTCTTCATCCTCCTCTTCCTCCTCCTCAGCGCGGCCGCTCCCGGAAGCTCCCGCTCCGCCCGGAACCTCCCGCGCAGCTCCGGGCGCCGCCCGGCGCCATCGCCGGCGCACCGGGCCCGGCCCCGCCCCGCCGCCTCAGCGCTGCCCGGAGCCGGCGGCGCCCGGAGCGTCCCGCGGCGCTGCCTTCGCTCTGCCCTGCCCGAGCCCAGGAATGGCTGAGTAACGCCCGATCCTTGTAGGTGGTTCTGCCGTCCTCCCTGTGCCCGCGTGTGCCCTGCATGGAGCTCTTCCATAGATGGGAAGGGATCTTAAAGATCATCCAGTTCCAGTCACCCCCTGCCACGGGCGGGGACGCCTCCCATGTGAGACCGGGTTGCTCCAGGCTTTATCCGACCTGGCATCCACAGCTCCCTGGGCAATCTGTTCTGCTGTCTCACCACCCTCACCATAAAGGATTTCTGCCTAATATCTCACCTAAATCTCCCCTCTTTCAATTTGTACCCATTACCCCTTGTTCTATCACTGCAGTTGTGATGAACAGGCCCTGTTCAGCTTCACTGTAGCTCCTTCAGGTGCTGGAAAGTGCTCTGAAGTCTCCAGATAACTTTCTCCAATTTTCTCAGCCTGTCTTTGTAGGGGAGGTGTTCCAGTCCTTTTATCAACTTTGTGGCCTCCTCTGGGCTTGCTCTGACAGCTCCATGTCCTTTGGTAGTGCTGGGGACACAGAACTGTGCACAGAGCTCCTGTGGGCTCTCACAAGGGCAGGGGAGAGGGGCAGAGCCTTTGGGTGCAGCCCTGGGTGGTGACCTCACACTGTCAGCTCATGTTAAGAATTTTATCAACCACTATTTCATTTTGCTGTAGTTCTTCAGGTGCTGGATGGTGCTCTGAACTCTCCACACAACCTTCTCCAGTTTTTTCAGCCTGTCTGTGTAGAGGAGGTGTTCCAGTCCTTTTATCAACTTTGTGGCCTCCTCTGGGCTTTCTCTGACAACTCCATGTCCTTTAGTAGTGTCTGGGACACAGAACTGTGTACAGAGCCCCCAGGGCTCTCACAAGGGCAGGGGACAGGGGCAGAACCTTTGGATGCAGCCCTGGGCTGTGAGCTCACACTGTCAGCTCATGTTTTTTATCAACCACTATTTCATTTTGCTGAGTCCCAAGTCAGGCATTACCGGAGTAGTATGGGGGATATTTAAGCCCCGTGGTTCAGCTGTTGTGTCCCCTGCATGGTGTTGTTTCCATGCCATGTTTCCTCCTGTGCTGTCCCATCTGCAGTCTGGGGATGTCTCCCCTGTAGCCATGATATTTTCTGAAAAATCCTTTCCTTGGGATTTTTCCTCCTGAGAAGCTGAGAGGCCTCAGGAACAAAATGTAAACATTGATTATCTGCTGCTGTGGAATGCAACAGGTGCAGCTGTGATTGGTCTCATGGGGTTGTTTCTAATTAATGGCCAATCACAGCTGGCTTGGACACTCTGTCTGAGCCACAAGCCTTTCTTATTCATTCTTCTTTTTCTACTCTTACCTAGCCTTCTGATGAAATCCTTTCTTCTATTCTTTTAGTATAGTTTTAATATAATATATATCATAAAATAATAAATCAAGCCTTCTGAAACATGGAGTCAGATCCTCATCTCTTCCCTCATCCTCAGACCCCTGTGAGCACTGTCAGACTCCCCAGCTGTGTGACACCTCAGCTCTTGGGAAGGTTGATAACACCCTGGGGCTGCCTCTCACCCTCTTCTGCTTCTGGGAGATAATCCTTGTTTGCTTTGCAGTTACTTGCCCATGTTTTATTTGGCACTCAGTGGGTCATCCATGCTTCTAGATACCGTGATAAAAACAAAACATTCTCCCCCTACTTTTCTCCCTCCATTCAACTTAATTGCTACTTAATTGATTTTTTTCTAGAATCATAGCATTAAAGTGCAAGTAACAAGTTTTAAGTTCCTTAGGAGTTTTTAATGATGTTTATCTGAAGCTTAGATCTCTCAGAGTGCTGTTGGTTAAATCATGCATAAAATGTTGCCAGTGTCTCTTTTGCACATTCTTCATAGGAAAATCTGTATTTTGTTTGACCTTGAATTTGCCGTGGGACCCCCATTGCTGAGCTTCCATTAAATCTGGTTGCTGTCAGCTGGAATGTGTGTTTGGATCAGAGAATGTCTTCTGAAAAGTGATTTAGGAAAGCTAATCCATCTATCTAAGTATAAATATTGAAGTTTAATTCTGGTATCTTGACTTCTCTCTCCAACTGATTCACAGATCTTGGCTGGCTTAAGATTTTAACTGCTGGGAAGGATAATTTGGAAACTGTAGCATGGCTGGATGCTGCCTTGAAAGGAAGCCACTCAACAAAGAAATAAGCAATGGGAACAAAGTTACATGTTTTATGAATGGCATGGCTTTTTCAGGACAGAATTGACTCCAGTTAGAAATAAATGGAAGAAGTAGCATGATTTGCCAGCAGTACACTCTAACATTGGGCATAAAAACTACCAGACAAAGTAGAAAACATTTATTTTTCCCCATAATTGATAGTATGAGTGCTGTTGATTCATGTTAAGGCAGCTGATAAATGTGGGCACTTTGACATATTCTCAAGATTGCATTTATAACAATTAAAAATGTCTATTCTTAGAGCTCATGTCATCCTAAGTCAGGTTCAAGGCTGCTGTATCAGCTGCATTGAATTTTTAACTCAGATGAACTCATATTTATATGCAGAGTGAATTTTATGAGGTAGAAGAACTGCAAGACAAGGCATGTTCTGAAAGCTAAACAGGCCTTTAGAAACCTCACATTTTAGTGTTAAATTTCATTTTCACTTGCAGCTAATTTTGTTTATGAACAGGAGACATTGCCATCCTTGACAGCATGACTAAAGTGAGATGCCAGAATTGCAGCCTTCATTTAACCAAACAGTATTTCAGCTTTCTAACAGCAGAAATTCTCACTTCTCTACTGCCAGCTGAATCTGGGCAAAAATATTGTTTTATGGAACTTCTGAAAATGTCACTATACATAGAGTTACTGCACCCACTTGTGGAGGAGACCCAAACTACAGAAGCTGGGCTAGATCAGCATTCCCCTCTCTTTGAGGTGTTCACCCAATTTAGATTTTAGTGATAATTCAAACCACTGAAACTGTATATTTTTGTTGTTGTTATAACTAGCAAGTCACTGCTGAATCTCTCAGGAGAGAAGGAGCTGTTTTGAAAACAGGTTCTGCCATGAGATGAGGCTCTAGTATTTATTTTTTTTTCATGATAGAGCTGTGGTAACCCACATTTGGGAAAGATACACTGATATTTGTGCAGAAGGATTGGGGTGATCAATGGAACAGGATTTTCTGTGAGGGGAGAGTAAAAGAGAAAGTAAAAGAGGAAGACTTTCCTGTGAGGGGAAAGTGAAAGGGGAAGACTTAGCCCAATCCAAAGACAACTTTAACAAGGCTATGGTTCACTCTCTACTCCTTTGATATACTTATATTGACAATGCAAAAGGCTATAATTCATTCCAAATGCAGGAGGTGAATTTGTTGTAGCTGGGGATGTAAGGTTTTTGTGGTTTTAAAGCTATCACACGGAGCCTGCTTTGCCTGTTTCTCCTGGGCTGTGTTTGGTGGAAAGCTTGGTCTTGTATTTGAGAGTCACACCATGAGACATGGCCCTTGTCCAGGTAAAACTCCTCAGTCCTAAGAGAAGGGAGTTACAAACATTGGAACAGCTGGCTGAACTGAAGTGGGATAGAAACTGGAACACAAGCAAATGAGCTGTTTGTGTTGCAAATAGTGGTAAGACAGATAATAAAACTGTAGATTTGAAAAGGAGCTTCATTGCCTTAAAAGAATATTATAGATTTTTTTTTATTTTTTTTTTTTAAGGAACAGAATTTGGTTTAACAGGTTAGGGTTTCATTTCAAGACTTATGTTACATAAAACCAGTCTTCACATTTGACTTATATCACCAACTTCACCCAAAACCACTTTCTTGAGACTTAAGAAAGAGCCTGCCCTGTGTACAGCCCAAGGCAATGGTTTCATGTACTTTAGTTTTACTCCTGCTGATAAACAGAAAGAGTTAGTCCTACCTGTTCCATTTAACTACTTACTGCAAGCCCATGTCAATGCAGTGTGTAAGAAAGCTGATTGTTGCCCTTTCATGTTTCACTGGTGTGCAACAGATGTTACCACAAAAGGATAAATATGAAGTAAAAAATGAAAGTGCTGAAGCTGGGTGTGAAGCTTTTCACACACTTTGCTACTGGTTTTTGCTAGAGACCACACACAACTTTATTAAACCATAGCTGAAGTCATGGAAAGATTCTTTTTGACTTTTTGGAAAGATTGTGACCATCAGTGCTATGGATGATTGAGATCTTTAAGATTATCTCATCTCATCTCATCTCATCTCAACTCATCTCATCTCATCTCATCTCTCCTGGTGTTTAAACTGATTTGTTTCTTTTCACTGGCTTTTCCTTATGATTCATGATTATTTTCAGGACTTCAGTATTAAGTTAATATCAGAGATGCTTTCCCTGGTATGTTTCTGTGCTGAAAGTGCCCTGCAGTTCCACAGTGACACAGGCTCAGTCTCTAATACATTTTTTTCCTGCTGCCTGCTGTGTCTTTAGGCTGGAACTTGTTGGGGGGAGTGAATAATTTCACTTTCCTGGGGATGCAGGCTGAGGCACGAGCTGCAGGTGCAGAGCCTTGCTTTGGGCACTTTTTAAATGCAAATACTCTTATTGGGTCCATAATGCCCAATAAGAGACTGACATGCCATGGTCACACCCTCACACCAGCCCCATGTGCCGCCCCATGTTTTTTGAACTTGTATTTAGTGGAAGGATTGAGTCATTTACGTGTTTATTTGTGGTGTAAGATGGGTGTAGGTTCTAGCTGTTATTTTTAATAGCAGACAGTTTTTATCACTGAGGTTCTCTTGGTATAAGGGTTTTTTTTTGCATTTTCACAGTGCAGTGCACAGTCCTGTTGTCCAGACACTGCTGACAAAGCATTTCACCCAGATCAGAATGAAACTTTTTGAAATGGATTATTGTCTGTATGTGTGTCTGACATTTGAAGACACTTAACTAAGTGTCTTCAGCTGCCATAGCTACCTGACAGCTGATAGGACTGTTAAAATGATACAAATCAGGGATTTGACCCAAATTTACATTTCTCCTTTGAGTTATTTGGCTCTGAAATCACTGGGTGGAGCTGAAAGCATGAATTGAACTTGCCATCACACGTCCCTGACTTCCTCCCACAAGCTACATTTGTTAATTTACGGTGCAGAAATGAACCTTTTAACTTTACACTGAAAGCAAATATTGATTTTGTTTCATATATATCTGGACTTTGCACAGGAGGGGAAAAACCTGACATTGCTGAAAATGGCAGCTGAGACATCCACAGAAGTTGCAAAAACAGCCAAACAATCTGTCCTTAAGGAAGAGGTACAGCATGCTTGGGTTGGGCAATTTTGTTGTTGAATAACAATTATTTGTGGGTTTGTGAGTGCAGAGTACAAAATGCTAGAGAGCCTGGATGTTCATAAAAAGACAAAAAAAAATTCTTCCTGATTGTCAGAGAGTTTGAAGGGTGTGACATTCCTCTTTATTGAAATAATCATATAAATTATCAATAAGGAGAAATCTACAGTGTTGCATTCTTTTAAGCTGCTTCTCTTTCTTTTCAGATTTTGCATCTGTTTCTTGTATTGTCTCTTCAGGAGGTTTTTCAGTGTTCAGAAATAATGCTGATATCTCTGAGAGACTTTACAAATTGGTGGGTTATGAAACTCAGCAGCAATTTTCTCTTTCAGTTTTCTGTTCCTTTAAAGTGCTTTAACATTTAGGATTGTACCATGTTTTATGTTTGCTGAAAAGATTTTAATTTGGATAATTGCTGTTTCAAAGACATCAGTAAGGAAGTAGTAAGAATAATACCAGTCCTCAAAAAGGATTCTGGAGGTATTTCATTTTTATTAGAAGCACTTTCACCCTAAACTGCCTTTATTTGTTTCTGTTCCCTTTAAATGAACTCTTAAAAGTTAATCTTTGGTGTTAAGGCAGGTTTGGCAGTGTCCTGCTCTTGCTATAACACAAATGTGCTTTCTTTTATTTGTGCTTCATGGAGTGAACACACTTGGAATTTCTTCCCGTTTCACAGCACAAGGAAAGAAGAGATTTGTTTGTATTATGTCTTTTCTCTTAGGCATTTTTAATATGAATATTTCACAAGCATAAAGGATTTAATTTTTTTAATCTTTTGGGGGTTTCTATTAAGAGCTGGGTATTTTGCAGGGAGCATTTTCATTTTATCCTCTTTTGGTTTGGTTTTGTATAGGTTTTTTATGATTTTTGGTTTGGCTTGTTGTTTAGTTTTTTTTTTAATTTTTCTTTGTTATTCTCTTTTTTAAACAATGTGCTCTTTGATATCATTGGAAATTTAGAATGAGATCTTACATATTTTAAGCTATTTACTTTTTTCAATAATTTTGTGGGCTTAATACAGAGAAGCATTTACCCTCTTTCTGCCAGTTGCTGTTATATCAGAAGTGGTTCTGTAACTTGCATAAAGAATTTGGACTGATGCTGGACAATCCTCCATTAAAGTGGGAGCTGAATTTACTTCATTCTTCCTTTTTCTGGGAAGGCACATCCAGGCTGGTATAAGCAGATGTTTTTTGCCCATCAAAGTAATACACAAAGAAATAAAAATAACTCCTTTTAAAACAAGTTACAGTGAGAGAAGCAAACTGCTGGGTTGATATCTAGGGATTTTTCAGTTTTAAATGAATTATATAAAAGATGAGGAAACATCATAGGGAGAATAAACTCAGCCCAGAAGAGCAATTTGGTCATAGTGTTAATGCCAAGCACTCACTCAGCAGCTCTCAGAACCCTAAAGGGACAGATGTGTGTCACTCTCACAGCTGCAGAATGCAGCAGGTACACAAGGGCAAGAAAATTTCAGGTTAGTTTGGTTTTCAGTCTTGCATGCTCAGCTTTTGGGCTGTGCTCTCTGCCAAGGGGGCACTCGTGAGCAGCAGTGTGGCTGAAGTCTCTGGGCTGCACAGAGACCCTTCTGCAGCTGATATATTATATTACCCTTGCAAAATCCTACTAAAAAATGAGGACTTTGCAGTGCATAAAATGCCACTGAATCCATCAAAACTTGGTTATAAAATTCATGTTAAGAAAAGCTACTGTCTTGGGGTTATATTTTTGTTCATATTCAAGAATTTAGAGTAATTTTTTTTTCTGTATTAGCAACAGGAATGCTGTTGCACATTCCTGCATGTGGTGTGATGCTGAAATTTGTCTTCATAAGAACCTAAAAAAATTGTGTTTTTTCTCCCAATTCTTTGGGATTAGTTTTACAATGTATTTAACAAAGAATTCTTTATTTTAGGTAATCGTAGAAAGACAATGGTTGAAGCTTTCAGAAACAACTTACACTGATCCCTTTGGGAAAACCAGGTAATTCCCTCTCTGGTGTTCCAGATTCCCAATTGCACAGACTGGGTCCAGGTAGAGAGCATGAGCATTACAAACACATCCCTCCACACAAGGTGAGAGGTTTGTGAGGTTCCTTCAGAGTTCCTGCTGTTCAGAGGAGAGAATCTTAAGAGAATCTTACTCTGGCAGATGTGCAAGCATTGGGATGGAATTTGGCTCCTAAATCCTCTTGGGCACATTGGATTGTGCTGCATTTCCAGTTCTTTGGAAAGATGTTACACAGAAGCAAATTCCAGCTGTGCAACTGCTCTGTGACAATCAGAGTCCATCCTGTGGCTTTTCTGGTTCTTTATTACAGGCTGCTTTTTCCCTGCTGTTGGAGCTGCATCCTCCATATTACTGACAAATTATTGTCCTCTTGTATGTTATCATTTCTGTCCAATTCTTTTGTACTCTTTAGTTTTGCTGTGTTTATGTAGGTGTTACAACATGGCTTTAGTTCCCTCCCCTTAGTGTGTCAGATTCTGTACTGATTGCTCTCTCTAGTGCCTCCCACCCCATCAGCAGAGTATCCTCTTAAAATTAGCAAGATTGGATCTTTTGTGTAACTAAAATTAACTATTTTCTCTCTCCCCCTTAAGTAGGCAAAAGAAAATGATACTTTAGACATTTTATAGTGGCAGTGTATGACAGGGCCTGCCTATGGCCTGCTGCTTCTTACAGGACCTCACTGTGGGGTGGTGCATCTTGCTTTAAGTGAAAGCAGCAAAGGTAGAAGATGATTTATGTGTTCATTTCTTCTTTTCTCTGTTTAAACAGAACTTGGGAAACTGTAAAGCGTACTGGCAACAAAAAGGGAGTTACAGCTGATGGTAAGAATTGGTGGCTTCTTCTTTTTGCATTTTTTTCCTGTCAAAGTCCTTCTGATAAGCTGACAGTGCAGATTTGGGGCTGATCTGTTCCTGAATGAGTGAGGATGTGGAACAGTGGCTTGGCAGAGCTGGCTGTACCCTGAGCTAATGAAAGGCTAACTGGGGTGCTGAAGAATCAGAACCTCACTGGTGGGAGACCTTTCCCAAGGTCACTGTGTTCACTTTTAAATCATGGAGTGCTTCCTAAGACATCAGGGGTGCCCTGACACAGAGTAGCTCTCAGACTGGTGATTGGGTTTGCTGTTAGGGGCCAAGGGGCTCTTTGGGACATGATTTAGAAGTGGAGAGTAGAGTTCCCTGCAGAGGCTTTCAGTTTTTGTAGGCAGGAGAGCCCTTCCCTGAGGCTCAGTCTTGCTTGGCTTGTGTGCCTCTGCCTTGCTGGGGAGCTTTGAAGATCTCTCACCATGCATGTTATAAAGAGCTTGAATTCATCATTCAGGGTTCTGGAGCAGGCATCCAAACATTTAATGCTCAGAGTAGTAGTGTGTGGGTTCCTTTCCAGATCTGGCACTAAAATCTGACTTTCTGCTGTGCTCACATTGCATGTCCTGGTGTCTCCCATGGCTGTGGTAGGTGTAGCAGTGATAGCAGTGCTGCAGAGAACCCTGCACTACGACTGCATTGTCCTGGTGAAACAGTTCAGGCCCCCAGTCAATGGCTACTGCTTGGAATTTCCTGCAGGTAAGTGGCTGAAGCATTGGGATGAGTCACATATGGTTCAGTGTGTTTAGATGTGCTTGGAGTGTCCATCTTTATGTATCTTATAGGTTAGACTTGAGGATCTCCAAGGTGTTTTCCAACTTAGTTGATTCTGTGATCTTAATGAAGCTGTGGCTGGAAAACCATGCTGAGCTCCATGTGCTATTCCAAAATAGGAATATTTGATAATGAAAAAACAAAATAAGCTGTTATGATGTTAATAGATGTTTTAGCAGATTGGAGAAAATTCCCTCCACTTCTCCTCTCTCTAAGAGTCAAAGCATTTGGCTTCTTTCCCTCATGAGAATATCAATGCCATTTTTGGGAAGGCATCATGATTCTGTAGATAATTGGTTAAGGATGTGGGCAGCAGCATAATGAATCCAGGGATTGGAGTCCTTCCTAACACTTATCCCTCTATAAAGACAGAGTAGTGAGGATGTTTCCCCTCTTCCAGAAAGCTTGATTAGGTCTCAGGATGGATATTGCAGTTAAGTGGGAAGCTTTTAATTGTTTTTGTGTGTTATGTATCTCCCAGGCCTCATTGAGGAAAACGAGTCAGCAGAAAGTGCTGCGCTTCGAGAGCTGAAGGAAGAGACTGGCTACAAGGGGGAGGTCATTGAATGTACTCCAGGTCTTTGCTTCTTCTTATTTTTTCCCAGTAAAGCTAATTCTGTCTTGCTGGCTACTCTAAATGTCTGAAATGCTCTAAACCAAAGAGAAAACCCAAGCAGATTAGCAGGGTAGCATCTCATGGCTGTAAAAGTGAAATTTTCTCCTTGATGTGAATCAGTTGCTGAACTTCAGTCTGAAGTAAGTTTGATGTCTGTAGGGAGAAAATTGCTATTAATTAAGATCCTTTACACTAAACCCAATTATTCAAGCTGTGATTTGGCATTTTAGTGTAAAGGTCTAAATTGCTGGACTTCTGTGTACAGCATCTGTGAACTTAGAAAAAAAAACCAGCTGTATAATGCAGAGGTCACCCTTGTGTCAGCTGTGGGGAGGTGACAATACTTGTCAGACTCGGGTTCTCCAGAAGAAGAAGAAAGGAGAGTAATTGGAGTTAATTCAGAGTTCCTTTGGAACATGATTGTTCCAATCCTATGCTTCCTACATAAGGTAAAATGAAGGCAAAGTGAGAATCATAAATCAAACTTGAGAAGGTAGGTGAGGCACCTTAGGATTTTGAGGAAATGTCATTGCAGTTGAGTCTTGTTTCTCAGTTGTTGGGTACAGTTGCATGCTGGGGATTGGGAGAGGTTGGACACAGGTGATGGCAAAATTAAATTCCCACAGACTGAGGAAGTCTGTAAGGGATAGTTCACAGTAAATCTTTAGTCTGTGGAATGGAAAGTAAATTTGGCTGTGAAAACAAGGGATCTGTAAAAGAGCTGAGCGTTACAGAAACATTACTTCTAAGAATTTGTGAAGACAAAGTTTTTGCTACTTTTACAGCACAAATGTCTGCCAAATATATATTCTCCTGTTGTATCAGATACATTTCTGTGAAAGCTTTTGTTAAAATGTCAAGGTGCCTGACTCCTGCTCTGAAAACTGAACCTGTCCATGTGCTTGTTGGCAGCTCTGTGCTTGGACCCAGGAATGTCAAACAGCACAACACACATTGTGAGTGTCATCATTAATGGAGATGAGGCTGAGAACACGAGACCTAAGCAAAACCTTGGTGAGTTTTGTGTCATTTATTTGAAAATTTTGAGATTATAACAAAACTATGGGTTTAAAACAATTAACTCCACCACTTCATCTCTTCTGTCCTAACTGGTTTGGATACTGCACATCCTTCCAATCACATCCTGCAGTCTAGATGAGTGTTTCTCTGCTGAATCCACTGGGGAAGCCCAGGTGTGAAGTGTCAGCTGTTGGCACACTCAGAATAAAACATTTCAGTGCCAAATTTCAGTGAGAGCCATAAGCACTTGTGAACCTAGAGACTGCTGTCAGTTGTAGCTTCACTCTGGAAGTAATTGCAGTGTCACTCCCAGTCAGTTAGCCATCAAATGCTTTTTAATTATAAACTCTGGTGTATTTCCACCCCTTAACCCACTACTCTTTTCACTTGCAGATGATGGAGGTACGTAATGTGACTGGCATCTCATTGACAAGAGGGTCATGATTCTTCATGTGGCAAGTTTTACTTAGAAAAAGTCAGTTAAAACTGGTTTTTATTTGTGCTTGGGTAATCTCCTGAGCCTAATCAAATGTGCCTGAGGTTGACTTTGGCCTAGATGCAAATTCCTGTGGGGCATTATTACGTCAATTATCTTTCCCAGTACTGCACCTATAGCACCAGGATTTCAGGAAATACAAATTACTCCTTCCCCAACAGCTGTAGGTCAAGCCCTGAAGACAAGTAATTCAGAGAGACAGGGAGGGGTAAGCCAGCATCAATTCATCATTAACAAACCCTATGATATGGTTTGGTCTTGAAATGCATCTCCAACCCATTCCTGTACCAGGAGAAGCCAAACAAGTTTTCTTCAACAGTGCATTTTTCATTCTCAAAGGGAGGTTTCTCTTTTGGGGATTCTTATTCTTCATAGCTACCAGCTACACTTTTTTCCCAACTGTTTTTCCAGCTTTTTTCTGCCAAGCATGTTTTTTAGGGAGCCCAGTCACTGCCTTCCCCCATTTAATTGACCCTTTTTTGATATATGAAAGCTCACAACTTTTGGATACTGACAATCATTACATCAGTCTCTTTCCCCTTCTAAATTGCAAGAAACAGAAGGCAGAGTTAAATTTCTATACTGTTCACTAATTGAAGGATGTGTAAACCTTTTTCTTCTCTCCTAGAATTTGTGGAAGTTGTTACACTTCCAAAGAATGACCTACTGCAGAGGATTGATGGTAAGAGCTTTCTGACACATTAAATGCACTAACATGAGCTTAAAGAATCCCTTCTCAGGGCTCCTCATGTCATCTCTCACCCTAGAATACATCATGTTATAAAATATGTTAAGCAAAAAGCTGTGAGAGATCTGGCCAGGTATGCGAATTAATGACAGCAGGAGGAGTTTACAGCATCTGGAATGCTACACATCTTCATTTTAGCAAGGACTTACATGTCTGTAAAGGTGAGGTTTTAACAGCATCTCATAATTTGTTTTATTTTCAGAGCTGGTAGCAGAGGAGCAGCTGGCAGTAGATGCCAGGGTTTACACGTACGCGCTGGCTCTGAAGCGCGCAGCAGAAAAACCGCTCCAAGTTCCTTTCATGAAGTTCTAGAACTGGACAATGAGAAATTGAATTCAAAACTGCCCAAGCTGGATGGCTTAGAAGTATAACTCTTCTTGTAATCAAGGTCATTTACTTTACTTGTTGAGCAAAAAAAGTGTTTGTAGTAATGATTCTGGTATTTTTATTTCTAATTATGTAACTGACAAAAAGCATTTCTTCTAATTGCTCTGTCAAGCCTTGACAGAATATCCATAATAAAAATACTGTTTAATTTTCAGAATGGCTTATTTCTCTCTAGATTACTCCCTGCACTTACAGTTCAGTATAGCAAAGATGCTTAGGTAACCGTGGTTGGTGTTACACCATGGTTCCAAAGGAGGCAGAGGCAGGACAGTGAGTGCAGGTCTCTTCTCACAGCACTCACTGCTAACATCTGGAGAGGGAAGAGCTCATGGTGGGCTGCAACTTCTTCATTATGGGCAGCAGAGGGGCTGGCACTGATTTCTTCTCTCTGGGGATGAGAGACAGGACCCAAGGGAATGGCCTGAAGTTGTGTCAGGGGCAGTTTAAGTTGGATATCAGGAAAGGGCTCTTCACCCAGAGGGTGGCTGGGCACTGGAACAGCCTCCCCAGGGCACAGCACTGAGCCTGGCAGTTCAAGATGTGTTTGGACAATGCTCTCAGGCACATGGTGAGATTCTTGGGATGTCCTGCACAAGGCCAGGAGTTGGACTCAGTGAGTCTTGCAGGTCCCTTCAAACTCAAAAGTCATAGAATTGTAGAATATCCAATTAAGTAGGAATTCTCTCTGGCAGGAGCAGGGAGAGCAGCACAGGACACTGTGTGCATGCTCTGGCTGAAGTAATAGAAATGGCAATTTCAGTAACTTCCTATTGTGATTTAGACATGAAGAGACTATGCAGAAAGAGAAAGCATGTTTGTCTGATCTAAAATAATGATCATGACTCCATCTACCAGTGCAAACCAAACTGTGCAGGCCCAGCCAGGGGATCCTGCTGAAGGTCTGAGGTCACATATGTGCCCTGAGGGCACAGCCTTGCAGTTTTCCCTCTCCTGAGGACATGTGTGTACCCAGGCTGCACCTTCATCAGTCAGATCACTTCTAGGTACATCTTATCCCAAATAAACCTTCAGTGCATCTGCACACAGAGGGCTGCTGCTAATTATGTAAACAGCCACCACAGCTGAAAGGTCAGGATCTCAGAGTTTAATAAACACACATCAGAATTAGTCCTGCCTCTGAAATAGATGAGTGTGTATAATTAGGCACACTTTCTGAAACAGAAAATTGCTCAAGAGTTTCTTACGTTCACAAACAACACGAAATTACTTTCAAATTAAGAATGAGAGAAGATACAAGAATGTAACATCAAAGGGAAAAAGTGATTACAGCAGAGCAGAAAGCTCAATGACTTTAAGGGGAGGAATCGTGGGATGTTTTTTTTAATTGTGGCTGCTAAAAATTAATCAGAAATATATTCTAGAAAGAAAAAAAATAAAGAGGAAGAAAGGGAGCCTTCTACACCTATCTCCCTGTGGAAACCAGGAATATTCCTCTGTCTGCTCTGGGGTGCCCTGACCCCCAGGGGAGCACTGACTTTGACCCTGATTCATGGAGAAAGTTTCCTAGACTTCAAGATAGACTGGAATCCACAAAAGTGTGAAATAGATGATATAGAGTAGTGTAGATGCATCACTTGGTGAGAAATTTAGGTTTTGGGATTTTTAGTGTGTAGTGGATGGCAGCAAGATGGAGGGCACAGGGTGTCATCCTGGATTTCTTCTTCATGCTGCTTCTTCCTTCTCCATGGGTTTGGGTGGCATTTTGTAATTGGGCAGGAAAGTCCCCATTGTGAGCTCATTGGGATTAGTTATGGGGTTAAAAGGGAAAATAATCCAGATGTCAGTTCTTAATTGGATAGTTTAGTCTTAAAAGACCTTGTAACAAGAGATTGTTGGCCATTTTGTGCCTTCTAATGAAAAGGTGCCCAACTCACAGCAGTGACACTGTTTTACTGGTAAGAAATAATAAACAGCTGAGTCCCAACATGAGCTGCCATCTCAAGTGCCTTCAATCCAGACCCAGAGAAACCCATAACTGGGACCCCCACACCTCCCTCTCAAGGCACTGTAGAAATCCCCAAAGACTGCACATGAATTACATCTGGCACACCCAAGGCACAGGAGAGAGTTTAATTAAATAAGTTTATTGTCTAACGCTTACATTTGTTACATCGCCGCTGTAAAGTGCGACAAATTTTCAGCAGGAACTCCCCGTTCCCCCCTTTCCCCTCCTATGAACTGCTGCAGGAACCAGGCCTCGTTCTTTAGACTCACAAAAGCGAAGTAGTGGACATGAAGGTTCAGTGGCACAGTTTTCACAAGTACATGGTTGAACAGAACTGCTGGCAGGGCTGGGCAGAGCCCTGGGCACAGCAGATCCCCCCAGGCAGAGCCAGCTCACAGGTGAGATCAGTATCAGCCAGGAAATGTTTGCTTGCCACCCTCAGAGCTCAGAGCAAGGTGCCTGGGTGGAGGCACAGCAAAGGAATAAGGAGTGCTGAGTTCAGTAGTGGGGAAATGCAGTTTAAAAAAGTATAAAAAATTAATGTAAAATACAGATACAAATAAATTTTGTCAGGAATACTGGCACGTGGCAATCTGAACTCAGAGGTTGTTTTTTTTTCTATTAGGGAAATTAATTTAACACTTTACTGCTCTGTGCAAAGACTTTTACCGGCTCTCAAACTGATACACTTTACAATCTCACTGTAGTGTCTGAACAGCAAGGTAGATGAATTGTTTCCAGCATTACAGGCAACACTAGATAATACTTAAACAAGATAATGTAAACTTTATTCTTAAGGCAGCTGGTACTAATGCTGCACACAGGCATTGCTCAATGCCCATTACAGTAATGGGACACGTAGCACTTGAAAACAAGTAAAAAGAAAAGAGCATTATTGGACTAAATGATGCATGTTGTCAAAATACCTTCCCTTTCACACAAACCATGAAATATTTGGACATCTAGAAAAATAATGCACCTACTCCTCCAACTTCAGCCTGTTCTTTTACAAATATTTCAAAATACTGATAAATAATAGTGACTGCAAGCAGAATGCCAGTGCCAGAGCCAATGGCTCCTAGAAAGTCAGCCAGTACTGAGAGGGCACCGATGCACAAACCACCAAATGCAGCTGCTGTAGGGATGTATCTGTAAGAAAGGAAAATACAGGGAAGAAGAAGGTAATAACCAAGGTATCTTTCTTTTACAAACATGGAAGAGATTCAAAATACCTTATTATGTCACTTAAAAAAAAAAAAGTAGAGGTTAATCTCTAATCTGCTGCTGTAAATTCTTTTGCATAACTAAGAAAGGCAACAGCTGAATGGGAAGAATCTTCCTTTCTGCAGTGGAAACAGGTATCACATTTTTAAAACAATCCTTGCTCCAGCTGACATTTCCCCAGCACTCCTCACCACCCAGCTGGAATTCAGCACTTCCTTACCTGTTAAGCTCATGAACCATGGATGTATCCCTGTGGCCTCTCATCACCATTTGCTGTTCTTTGAGTTGCTTGGCAACCTGCAGAAAACATTATTTATGAAACTGCTGCAGTGTTTCACAGTCACTTGATGTTTACTGGGATAAACTGATCAGTCAGTAGCTGGGGTCAGTTCTAAATCAAAAGCACTGTTTGAAAACCATTAAGGTAGAACACCTACATCTTTTGCTGATGAGCCAGACACCTCGATCCAAGTCTTGGAGAAGAATGCACAGGATCCCAACATAAATATTATATAAACTATTACATGGACAGGATCCTCAAATATTGCACCCATGGATTCTGGAGGAGACAAGTAGTAGCACAGGCCACCAACAGGGTAAGAGCGAGCAGGGCCACCTCCACTGACATCCTGAGAGGGGAAGAAAAAGGCAATAAATTATTTTTCACAGACTTTCCACATTTGTATGCTGCATTAATAGAGGACTTCCCCTTTGATGTTTGAAACAGCTTTTATACACAAATGTTACAGAGTAAGTATTCCAGCTGGTTAAATACCAAGGAGTCACATCAAAGTAAAAATGCAATAATTCTAAAATGTGATCAAATACTCACTGCCCACTGTCCCAGTAAGTTCACCAAGAAGTTGCCACTGAAACGAACAGACAACATCTGGGAAATGACATAGAGGTTTGACACCAGGGCAGACTGCAGGATGATGGGAATGTTGGAGGTGTAGAACAGCTTGATGGGGTAGCTGCTGTACTGCCCACGGTACCGCGCAGACTTGATGGGCAAATCCACTCTGAACCCCTGGGAAAGAACACAAACACACCAGGGTTCACCTCTGAGACACAAGGAACTCCCAAATGCCCCAAAGCTATTCCTGACCAGGCAGCTCTTGCTAGATAAACAAGGACTGCAAGGTCTGAGATAGAAAAACCCAAAGGCTTTCTGCTACAGACTGGATTACAGATTTTAAGGATTTAAAAGTTTTACTGCTTGGTTGTATTACATTCTTGTCACATAAACATGGTTTCTCATCTGCTAAAATACATTCTATAGCTTAGGGGTTGATAAAAGCCTGTCATGGCTTCCAAGTGAACTAGCCAGCTACCAGCAAGCTCCTGTGTGTAAGCCCAGGCTCTTGTGTGTAAGCCCAGACTCTTGTGTAGTTTTGTGGGGCAGGACCTTTTCTGAGTAGACCACATGAACTTGAAAACCTGTTTTTGGGGTTTTTTTTGGTTGTTCCCCTCCCAAAACTCAAACTCAACAACTCAAAAAAAAAGTCTTAAAAATTACATTTTAGCTGCCCTCATCCCCATTATCTCCACATGGATCCTCCTTTAGTGTCCATTTTAGTAGATACTTAGATTTAAAAAGAAACACTAATTAAATGTTACCAGAAAATTAAGCAAAAACCAATAAACTACACACCCCAAAGAAGCAAAATTCTCCAGCTCAGTTTAAAAGTATTCTTTTCGGTCAATTATGAATATTAAGAATATTATTGATGTGATGCCACCACTGCAGTACCAGAATCCATTTTATTAAAAATATTACCATAGCATGTATGGCATTCAATGGAATGTGAGATTACACACTGAGTGCAACTAGGGCTGGCTGTAGAATTTTACAGCTTTACTGTCACAGAGGTAATTGTTACTGAAATAACAACATTGGAATAGAAAGAGTTCATCACTCAAAACTAAGATA